GCTCTCGGGCCATCCGTCGTCTAGTTTTTATCTATTCGTAATTTATATATAACCAAAATTTAATTAAAATAAAACAATAAATTTTCCGTATATAAAACAATACGCAATGATTACAGCTATGATATCTTTATCATTCATATATAAAATTCTTCAATTCCTCCATCCTTTCCTTTTTTCCCAAACAGCTCTTAAGCTGAACTTCTCAATTCTTGCTAGAAACAGCCTTTGTTCCCTCATGATTTGCTGGCTCCTCCTAGTTCCGGCTGGGGTTCCGGTGCTTGTCTCCTTTTCTCTCTTCTTTCTTTCCTCAGGAAAGGGGTTCTGTTCCATCATGATTTGTTGGTTCCTCCTGGTTTCGGCGGGGTTCCCGTGCTTGTCTCCCTTCTTCTCTTTCCTTTGGTTCCGGTGCTTGTCGCCCTTTTTCTCTCTTCTTTCTTTCTTCAGGACAGGGGTTCTGTTCCATCATGATTTGCTCCTGGTTCCGGCTGGGGTTCCGGTGTTTGTCTCCCTTCTTCTCTCTTCTTTGGTTCCGGTGCTTGTCTCCCTTCTCCTATCTTCTTTCTATCCTCAGGAAAGGGGTTCTGTTCCATCAAGATTTCCTGGTTCCTCCTGGTTCCGGCTGGGGTCCCGGTGCTTGTTTCCCTTCTTCCCTCTCCCTTCTTTTCTCAGGAAAGGGGTTCTGTTTCATCATGGATTTCCTGGTTCCTCTGCGTTTTGGCGGGTTCCGGTGCTTGTCTCCCTTCTTCTCTCTTTTTCCCCAACAGCGTGAGCTAATGGGGTCTTCAGCCCAGAATAGCTCCGGTGTGAACTGGTCCAGGCGCCGGGTCAGGTTCAACGAGGTTCCGGAAAAGGTTCTTGGAGGCCTTGGTGCAGAGCCAGGTCAGGTTCAATAGGGTTCCGGAGAAGGTTCTGGAGAAGGTTCCGGGAGGCTTTGGTGCAGAGCCAGGTCAAGTTCAACAGGGTTCCGGAGAAGGTTCTGGAGAAGGTCTCGGAGGCTTTGGTGCAAAGCCAGGTCAAGTTCAACAGGGTTCTGAAGAAGGTTCTGTGGGTTCTGTGAGGCTTTGGTGCAGAGCCAGGTCAGGTTCAACAGAGTTCCGAAGAACGTTCTGGAGAAGGTCTGGGGGTTTCGGAAAAGGTTCCGGAAAGGTGTGGGAGGCTTTAGGTTAGGTTCTGGAGGAGGTTCCGGAGAAGGTTCCGGAAGGCTTTGGCGCAGAGCCAGGTCAGGTTCAACAGGGTTCCGGAGAAGGTTCCGGAGAAGTTTCCAGGAAGCCTTTGTGCAAAGACAAGTCAGGTTCAACGGGTTCCGGAGAAGGTTGCAGAGAAGGTCCCGGAGAAGGTTTTGGGAATCTTTATTGCAGGGCCAGGTCTTGTTCAACGGGTTCAACAAGTTCAACAGGTTCAACAGGGTTTCCAGCGCTTGGCTTCGCAGCACGCTTCAGAAAGATTTGTAAAAATGAAACGTTGCGGCTGTTGGGGATACCACCGAAGCTTATTTCTTTTCTCAGGAAAAGGGTTCTGTTCCATCATGGATTTCCTGGTTCTTCCTGCTTCGGGCTGGGGTTCCGGTGCTTGTCTCCCTTATTCCAGGAGTGTGCCAGACAGTTCCATGAATTTTGCAATGCGCATGACCTTGGTGGAAACATGCAATGTTGCTGTTTGGTGTCTATGCTGGTGCAATTATTTATTTCTTCCCCAAACTGCGTAAGCTAAGAAGATCTTCAGCCCACTGGTGCAGGCGCAGGGCGAGGTTCAAAACGAGGTTCCGGAAAAGGTTCCAGAGAAAGTTTCGGGAGGCTTTGGTGCAGAGCCAGGTCAGGTTCAACAAGGTTCCGGCGAAGGTTCCGGAGAAGGTTCCGGGAGGCTTTGGTGCAGAGCCAGGTCGAGTTCAACAGGGTTCCGGAGAACGTTCCGGATAAGGTCCGGGAGGCTTTCTTTGTAGCAGAGCCAGGTCAAGTTCAACAGGGTTCCGGAAAATTTTCCGTAGAAGGCCAAGCTTTGGTGCAGAGCCAGGTCAAGTTCAACAGGGTTCCGGAGAAGGTTCTGGTGAAGGTTTGGGAGGCTTTGGTGCAAAGCCAGGTCGGTTTCAACAGGGTTCCCGAGCAGGTTCCAGAAAAGGCCTGGGAAGCTTTGAAGCAAAGCTTCAACAGGGTTCCGAAGCAGGGTTCCGGGAGGCTTTGGTGAAGAGCCAGGTCAGGTTCAACAGGGTTCCGGGGAAGGTTCCGGAGAAGGTCCAGGAGGCTTTGGTGCAGAGCCGGGTCAGAATCAACAGGGTTCCGGAGAAGGTGCCGGAGAAGGTTCCGGCTTTGGTGCAGAGTTAGGTCAGGTTCAACAAGGTTCCAAAGCAGGTTCCAGAGAAAGCCTGGTAGAGGTTCAACAGGGGTCTCGTGCAAATCCAAATCGGGTTCAACGGGTTCCGGAGAAGGTTTCGGAGAAGGTCCCGGAGAAGGTTTTGGGAATCTTTGGTGCAGGGCCAGGTCAAGTTCAATAGGTACAACAGGGTTTCCAGCGCTTGGCTTCGCAGCACGCTTCAGAAAGATTTGTAAGAATAAAACGCTGCGACTGTTGGGGATTCCACCGAAGCTTATGCCCCAAGAACAGCGTAAGTTAACGGGGTCTTCAGCCAAGAATAGCTCTGGTGTGCACTGGTGCAGGCGCCGGGTCAGGTTCAACGAGGTTCCGGAGAAGGTTGCTCGGGGGAAGGTCTGGGAGGCTTTGGTGCAGAGACAGGTTCAACAGGGTTCCCGAGAAGGTTCCGGAGAAGGTCTGGGAGGCCTTGGAGCAGGCTGAGGTGTTTCCATTGCTTGGCTTCGCAGCACGCTTCAGAAAGATTTGTAAAAATAAAACGTTGCGGCTGTTGGGGGTACCACCGAAGCTTATTTTTTTCCAGAAAAAAATCCAGAAAATTTTTGGTATTGAACCTTTAATCGTCAACCTGATTTGTGCCCTGGCTTAACGCGCCGGCTAGGTTGACTGACTCTTTTGACCAAGAAGCAAACCAAACCACAGTGCGAGGATGCATTCGCTTTTTCACATCTTACGGTGAAGGTGATATTAAGTGGCTGGTATCAGAACCGAAAACAGCATCCGCTAATGCTTTCCCAGCTGACAAGCTGGACCTCAGCACCAGGGCCAAACTGTCTATCTACAAATGCCGAACAAATGCTGAGCATGGATCTTCCACCTAACACGACCCGCAAGCGAAAAGCTCAAAGAAATATAGGACCCCCCTTAAAGGGCTCCTATGGGCTAGATCCGGCATGACAAATCTAACATTCAAGACCGCCAAGCTGCCAAGGATATAGAAAAACAAACTGGTTCCTGGTTCCAAAAAAACATCCTGTGCATCTGGGACCCCTGCACGGCGCGTGCCAGCATGGCATTGGTGGCATTCAGAGTGTGCTGAGCCAAACTTTGATCCTGCTGACATACAAAGTGCAACCCATGAAGAAATGAACGGGGGCGAAAACGAGAAGAGAAAGAGATGGATGGACAAAAATGCTGAAACACTTGCAGGAGAAGTGCGTTGATAAGGCAAGGAAGGGTCCGCAAAACTGAGTAGAAACATGTCATGAATAGAGCTGAATCATACCATGTCATACCTCTTTTACTGTCCCAATTTTTTTTAAAAACTTTCCTCAACCTAGTCATAAGTGGGGTTCCAACGCGCAATGCTGCTGGTAGTTTTGTTACTCACAACCGCCAAGGTGGGCTTTCACTTATTTTTGGACGCTGCTATCTGCATGCCGGTTTTCTAATTTCCTTCCTCGCTTTCTTGCCTCTCACCTTGGTTGGCAAATAGGTTCGCGAGCAAGCTCCCCTCATATATTGTGGGAAACCAGCTAAAACAATGCCAATAACCAACCATTGGGAGTCACTTTAAGGGGTACAGGGTATACCCAATGATAAATCCAAATTGGGCATGGTTTACTGTTGGGTTTGCCAAATTACCTTCGTACTCTCTCCGTCTGACTCGCAATCATTTTTGCCATTTCCAAAAATTCTTGTGCGGAGTCTCCTCAATGAGCCATTGCAGATACATCTCGCTGGGCACCTGTCGTGGAAGCTCTCCTGCATCCGATGGGCCAATGCAAACCAAGCAAGAAAAATATGATCACCTGGGGAGAATTGAAATAAATTACCCGCCAAAGGAAAGGAGCATGCCGAAAGGATAGGCTCAGCAACAGAGATACGTAGTCAAAGTGTGTTTTCATGAAGGTATATAGCCCTCCACGAAATTGAATAGGCCCCTCTAATGTACATCATGAATCTTTGCCCTTGGCACAGCACACTGAAGGGCTGCCCGCTCTTCCAAAACCTGCTGGAAGAATCAGGCCCGAAACATGGTTGAAGCAAAACGCATCAGCTGAATTTGTGGCCTACCGAGCCTGCTCCGAAAATTGCTAAGGTCGAGGGAGACAAGCTCTCATTGAAGTCACCTTACTTTTCACACCTGGGAACCCAATGAACCACCAATTTGCGGGGGATCTGGTGAACTACCCGCAGGGACTTCACTAGTCCTGTGTCCATTCCAAAGATGTAATCCGCCAGCGGCTTGCCTGGGTGTCAAGATATCTGTGCGGAAGGAACGGGGATTCAGTGTAGAAATCGAAACATGTTCAATTAGCATGAGGAGGGCAAATAGGACAAGCTCCGACCTACACCCACAGCTACTGGAAAACCCAGGGGGCAACACCCTGTAAAGTGAAGGGGCGCTAGTCTGAAAATTGCCTTTCACCGTAACCAATCAAAACATGAAACTGTCGGGCCTGATGTGCAATTTTTTTTATTGCCTGCGGATCCCACTCCTTTGGATCTTGGAATGTACCAATCTATCGGGGCCAAGGCGGATTTGCAATCACTGACTGACTTGAAATTGATAAACAAACAAATACAGTACGGTTCACCTGTTTTTAACTGGCATCATGACCACTAGAATATTTAGAATATTTTAGAATGAAAAGAAAGAACTTGTTCATGAGAAGGATCTTTTTGAAAAAAAGGAGCCCAGCGACCAGCAGAGAGCTTGGAAATTCCCATGGCCAACATTTCCTGGGCGGCTGTGGTCACATGGCCTTGGGGCAAGTGGGTATCTGCAGTCCTTGGCCCATTTGGGCAATGAGTAACCGTGCCGTGCTTCACCCAATGAGGGCTACTTGGGCGGCCTTTAAAATATTGATTTGGACCGCAAAGTGCATGATAACAATCAATCTCCAGTGATATTCTGAAATTGGTTTGTTGGATCTCATGCTTGGATCCCTCGCAGTTTTTTGGGGAGATATTCAGATGGCTAGTTCCTTTGGTTTCTTTCTGATAGGTAAACCATAATGATAAGTTAGAGGGTTTTTTCGACCACAAAGGGGTTATACATGGTTGTACTGTATACTTGGGATATGCAAACACTATGTCACTATGATATGGTGTATGATATTGGTGCTTTACTTTTACAAAAACAAGGACAAAACCATTTGAATGGGGGATAAAACCAACCAGTTCATGGGGATGCGATGAGAAAAAAAACTGGGAATGTAATGGCGACATTCCATGACATAAATAACCTACGGGGTAGTAACGGGATATAACTTACGAGGAATGAGGTACCCTATTTTAGGACAGGCACCTGTTTGGACCCACTAGATTCAAGTCGATTTTTTTCTTATCAAACTATCCATTTTTAGGAGTATATTCTGGGGCACTTGGTCCAGGCAAGGCGCGTTTTCCTTTTCAAGCAGAACCTTAGCCAGACCGTTCCATGAAGCTCCATGACAATCATGGGCCTTTAAGTGCAACCCTTCGCAGGTGCTGGTTGTGGCGGCTCTGACTGAGGGGGAGCAATGTTTTCCGAATGACTAGGATTCATGATTGCGGGGCCATGTGTGGCCGGCAGGTCAAAGCAGGCCACAATTGAAAAACAATGTTGAGAAAGGAAATTCAAAAATTCAATGCGCCAGTTTGATGGCAAAAATGTGACGCAAAGCCATTTGTTTCAAAAAAAAACATGAAACTTGGGGGGGTACGGATTTGAGATATCCTATTCTGGCACGCCTGCGTTCCATACATTCGCACAAGAAATGCCCCTGCGCCTGTTCGTGGAAGGATGCATGCACCGCACATTTGGCCCTCATCCCTACCCACTTGGATGAGTTAGATTCTTGAAAAACGCATTTGGACATTTCGGGGATTCAGCTCTGGCCTGACTTCCGAAACGGTGTCATTTGGCGAAAGCAACCAGAATCAAAATAATAGGTAAGGTCATGGGATGAGTTTTTTAAATACGATGCCGACCGACGTGGTCAAGAAATCTTTTGGCATTATTGTTGCCTTTGCGAAGATTGCGCCTTTGCAGCCGTGTCTTAGAAAAGAACTGTTCGCAGCCCTCTCGCGCATATAAAGGCAAACAAGCACCACACGTGAATGATCTCACTTTTTCAGAAGGTAAATGAACCCTTGGAATTCTTATGTGTTTTTTTTTAGATCCACCCCATGAGCTTAACTTGCTGCGAGCTTCTGACACCTGTCGGGGTTCCAATGCCGCCACCTTTGCTGCATATCGCGAAGACATTGCATGTCGCGACTGTCGCGAAGGCATTGAGGCTGACCGGGTTGGGATCTTCCTGGGAACGGAGCACGATGGCATGAAGCCAGTGAAGCCCTTCGCCCAATGCTTCAGACGGCCATAGTGAAATGCGGAAGCGTCTTGGATTCAAAAACCCGTTAACACTTGGTGGCAAGAGTGAGACCACAGTGCGTGTCGCATTCTGACATGAACTATCCTGTAATGAAGAAGCAACAGGTATGAACCGACAAGGGCAGCAATAACACATGAGATACATGTCAAGACCTTGCGGCTAAATATGCGGAAGAACGAGGCCTAGAACGCATGCGATCACTGTCAACTGAACTTGTACAGCTGGAAGAGAAAGTCATTGCAGAAAGGCCCCGGGCAACACTTGCTGATGGGACACCGCGCTACGACTAAGTCATGGCCAAGTCATTGCATTTTGCCTTTTAGCAAGGGACGCCTTGTTTTGAAGAAGACATCAGAAAAGCAAGCGCGTGTCATTTCCTATTGGTTTCCTATTGCGACACCATGAGTCAAAATGCTAGACATCAATTGGGACACCTATTTGGGTATTCCATGCTACGCGTCAAAATTCAGAAGAAACCATGCACATGTTTGTGGAAGGACTAATTGGAGAGGTCTTGATCAAGATGGTCCTTGACGGCCCTTGGATTCCAATATTGTGAAATCCTTAGTTAGGCTCTTCCATGCCAATTATGCCATGGATCAAGTAAGAGGAAACATGTCTTGCCTCATTTCCACTTTTCATGCTGATTGGTTGCTCAGCTTTTTCAACTTGGAACCTGCAGAGCCACTATTTTTCTCTTTTCCAGATCGATTTTGTGGTTTGCGTTTTTTGTGTCCACATGCGTCTTGACACCGCATATCTCATCGTACTTGGCAAGTACGGGTTGTGTACACCATCAGCTTGCTGCCATCATGCAGTCCGGTGACAACTGGCCCATCAATCCCCCATAATGCTGTGGTGGGAATCATTGATTACACACCCACTCGCTATAACTGAAGCCGCTCTTTCACATCTTTCACAAATACAGCGCAGCACGCTTTCGAAATTGCATGTGATGAGCTGTTTATCGTCAGATGAAAACTGGGCCGAGGCATGCCACAGCCACGAGGGCTATGAACCGTATGCCACTTGATCTCCAAGGTCCCAGCCGCGCCGTTTCTGGCAAGTAGCGGCTCTAGTAGCTGCCCTGAGTCTGTCTGGAAGACATGGTCGGCCAAAGCTTTTCCGAGGGATAGGCGTTCAACACAGGTCACCTGAGTGTCAATGGTGCCGACTTGGAAAGTGGCATGGATGTTGGGCCTTGGCAAAAGGAGTCAGTCGCAAGCTACGGTAAATGGAAGGGACAACAATCAACAATACGCAACACATAGCAACTAAAAGCAATCAAGAATCTGAACACGGAAGTAGAATGTAGTGAATGTAATGAATGCGATGACCAACAGCTTGGTTTCAACCAGCAATGACATGCAAAGAATCCCAATATGCAACTCTTAAACCCTGTAAGACGTAGCTCCCGCAATACGAAACAAATAAGCAGAATAAGCAACAGCAACAAAAAATGTGGCCCAACTTTTGACGTGATCTCACACTGGAAAGAGATGGGAGGGGCTTCAGTCGACGCCTTCCCCTCGCCACATATTTGCCAAGACACCAAGCTCTGGAGTGCCTGAAGGGGCAGTTGAAACAACCAAGGGGCAAGAGCGGAGCCAGTTTTGTTGCAGTTGTTGCAGTTGTTGCAGTTGTTGCAGTTGTTGCAGTTGTTGCTCATCCATTCTGTCAAATATCTTTCAAAGCGGCCTACAGTATCTGAATCTTGGGGAGTCCTTGCTGCATAGATGACGCTGAAATCGGATAGCTAGCGACGGCACGACTGGTTGTTGAAAATTTTCTTGGGAAGGATGGAGGACATGAAAGCCAAAATAGGACGCCACCTTTCGAATGTCTGGCGTCTAGCCGTTGGAAGGAACAACTCACATCACTGGCCAACACCAGGCAGGTGCTTAGAAAGTAGCTAACCCACAGAAATCACACCGCTGATTGAAAAACCAGCCTATTGCAAATACATTTGCACAAACTGTTGAAGTAACCTCAAAGACTGTCAGACAGATTTTGGCAGTTGCTATGGGCAAGCCAGTAGACGGTGGATGATCCGGAGGTTCAGTGTGGACATCCGTTCCAGCTGCCTTCTTCAGTGAGTGCTGAACTTGGGCTTTCTCCTGCGTTGGGTTCAGAGTTCTGCAGGGGTTTCTACTTTCAGAAAAGTGGGCTAGCCCATTGAATTGGAGACAAAAACTTGCTCAAAGGCTCAGGGGAAATATCTATAGGTTCGATGGAGACATGACCACGGGCCCGGCACGATGAAGTGGACCTCCAGAGCTACAGTTTTAGGGAAGTCAGCTGTATCGTCATCGAAGATCCAGTCAGTAAAAGGTTTGCCTGGCACATTTTGCCCCAAAAGCATGAGCCCATGAACGCTCAAAGCATGTCATGAGCTAGGAAAATATGTTGTTTCAAGCCAGTCAATACGACGCTATTGGAGAATCGAGATTGGCGGGCAAGTATATTGAGGAAAATATTTCACCCTTGTGAGAGACTCTCAAAACACTCTTGTGGAATGTTACTCTACGACATTCATGTGGGACACCTTTGTAAGACACTTGTGGGGACACTATTGCGAAACACCCCTTTGTGGAACAGTCTTGTACAAGTACGACACTGCTATAGGACTACTCTTCTGCGGGGCACTCTTTTGAGTCACCCTTGGAAGACCCTTGCTATATATTGTCAAAGGGAAACCTTGGCTTCTGGATTGAAACTAAGCAAATTCCACTGGAGAGGGTTCGCCTAAGCCCGTTGCCAGCCTGTCAGTTTTGGGGTTTTGGGAGCACTCCTAATCCAAACACACAGTCACATACATCACAAAATTTGGGGCCTATAGACAGCCTTCAATATTCTCGTCACAACATCCCCCTTGCCCAAGCCTTGCCCCCTTCAAAAACCATGCCGCAGGTGCCACTGGAAAGCTGTGCCACAGCAGTCTCAAGGACTTCGGTGTGGTACCTGGGAAAGCGAGTGGGACTGGTGGACTGGTTGGCCATGGTTGGCCACCAGGGAGGGAAAGGGTTCTCCACATCTTTTAAACACCTTCGCCAGTTGTTGGATTGTCATGGCAAAGATATACCATGGTCACACACATGGACATAAAGCATATCGGGTAGCCTCAATCTGCAATAGCCCACCTTCCAATGAAAATAGCAAAACATATCAAAACTAAACACCAGAGCTTTGGTGTTTCAGAGATTTTGCCGAGCAGCGCCACGAGGTTTGCCACGAAGCTGGGATCTGGGTGCTGCGCATTCACCACGCCAGGTCGAGAGCTTGCTGCGAGACCACCGGAGATCCTGGGTACAAAATTATCACACCACAAGCATTGTCCATTATTATCCATTATTATCCGTTATTATCCATTATTATCCATTGTTATCCATTATTATCATTTATTATCACTTATTATCATTATTGATTTCGGGAAATCTTTCAGGTGGATTTTTTGGCGAAGAGCATTGCTCCCTCTGCCCTGTCCAGGGTTCCGCACCAGAAATAGCACGCTACACAGAGTCGCATCATCCTCATGGCGAAGTCATTTCGAAATCGGGTGTGAAGTCTAAGTTTGATGTTACCAAGAGAGGTTGCTCTACATCTCAAAATGATGCTCGAATTTCTGACTAGCAAAGCATCATTTTGAGCAAATTTGAAGGGATCTAAGTGCAAGATCTCCAGGTCTTCACTGATTTCGCATCTCAGTTCCCAGCGAGACGCCATGGCTGGCTGACATGGCGCAGTGGGCCTGTGCTTAGAACCGAAAGAGGCCTTGAAGCAGCACATAGATTCACCGCACATATCTGGCAAGTATCATCAGGCATTGTTTATGGCAATTTGTTGTTGTTGTGACGTCGTTTTGATTCACTCAAGCTTGATTTCAGCCATAGATGTCATACTTGACAAACATAACTTTCTAAAGGACCTCCAATCGATGCCAGCAATGGCACTGTGAGAATCCAGCCAGAAGCAATCAAACAATCTTTCAGAACACATATTCATGAGAAGCATATGCAGACCACTGCAAACTGAGCTTGATGGGTGTATGATCTCAACAAAAATGGCTTAGTGACAGAACCCAATCATGCCAAATGGATCCACAAAGGATCAGCATGTGAAAATATGACCATGAATTCATCATGAATTCATCCATGTTATGTCATCCATGTTATTATGTTATGTCATATTACTATAATTTCTAACTATATCGCTATATCATAAATTTCAGGATTTTTCATTGCGTCGATAGCATCCGCCGACCTCGCCATTTTGGCACCTCAATCGGCACTCGCCAGGCGCTGGGCACTGGCGGCTGTTCAAAGAGACACCAGCTCGGCCAACCGGGCGATGCCGCGGGAGGCCTGGGACCACCGGTAGAAACTGGCAGAAACTCGGGGTGGTGAAAACTGCTACAAAAATTGTTTATGAAACTTGTTTAACATGAGAAAGTGACAGGTTTAGAGATGCATCCCATGTGGAATACAGCTGAAATCCTTCGAGTGATTCGTATTTGGCTAAATTCTGGTACGGACCCAGTGGGGAAAACTCAAAGTCCGAAAAACAACATCAGCCAGTTGACAGCTGTTGGAAAAACCCTTGGTAAAGACGTAATATGCCCCTTGCAAAGCCTCTGTTCCCATAAGCGCAGAGGCCCCCGGCTGCGAATCCGCTTCTGGCGGTCGCATGGCTTCCAGTTGCTTCTGCAAGATGCCTCAGTCCGTCACTTCCTGCCCAAAGATTCAGACCATGACTGCGTTCAAGCATTGGCCATGAACAACATGAACTGGATCACCGTTATGGGATCTAAATGGCGTTTAGATGATTTAAGCCATTGAGCGAAGGGTATCCTCCTTCAACCTGCCAGGTGAGCGAAGGGGCTCAGAGCGCCAATGGCTGATTGACACAGGGCGCTTTTGAACAACTCCGACAGCTCAGGTGCTTGATAGATGGTACCTGATTGGCACATGGCAAGTGCGGCAAGTACTGGCATGACTTGATGCATTTTTCAGCATTCACAGTAGATTATTCCACTGGCCTTGAAGGGTCTGTGATGATGGGGTATGGTTTGCCCGTAATATGAAAATCGGTCACTTGGAACTGCCCAGCAGGATGGGGCATCAGCTCGAGTTCCCAACAACCTTCCAGCTTTTCATAGATGTGTTGACTGCATCCCCATGCTAGGTCCTCTAGGTTGAGTTTCTGGGTTTATGGCAGCCCTTCACGATGAATTCATCGCACCGGCGATGACATAGAACGTCTCTTTGGGTGTTGCAGGATGCTGCAGCCGTTGGATCACAAAAATGCAGGTCTCCACTTTGCCTGCGGCGGGGTTTCGACAAGGGTTTCCCATTTTGGGCTGGTATGCCAACTAAAGGAGCGCGGCTTTCGTGGAAAGAGAGAAAGAGTATTGCAACAAACAGAGTTGGAATCAGCAGGAGTGTACCAAAATGACTACCCAAAGGCAAAGGACAAATCGGCTTCCGGCAATGGCGCACAAGTCCCAATTTCATCCAATGTCCGGCACCCATGAATCAATTATCATTCGTCATCAGTGAGAGGGCAGAATAAACATGCACCATCACCGAGAGGGCAGAATAAACATGCACACACACACACACCCACACACAGATTTACACGTGGATATTTATGATACACACATGCAGCATAACAAACTATGCATGCATATGCAAACAGAGTGCGAAATGGAAAGCAAAAAGCAAGGTTCGCAGGAAAATCAATGGCAGTTTCTACTGACCTTTGATGGGTTGAGTCGGTTGAGCGGCTACCCAAGAATCAGCGCCTTCTTTGGCATCCTCGTTCGCAGCCAGCACCACAAACTCATGGTGTCCAGGCTGCACCTATAGCAACAAACTTTGGAGATGGGAACCCCTTCCTGATACGTCCTGTTCTTGCGATGTTAGGAAAAGGCACAAAAGGGAATGGCCAAGGGGAAAGTCGTGTCGTGATTCTCTCTATATTCTCTATTTTAAGCCTGTCATTTTTATCACCCCGAACCTTGGCGCCTCCACTTTCAAGCCGCGCCGGCGTTGTTCGTTGATGGAGTTTTGCCCAATGCGTTGGTAAAAGGGCGATGTGTAGAAGTACTCTAACCTCAGGCCAATAGAAAATGAACAGCCACAGAACGCCAAAACATTGTGAGTGAACAAAAAATGCAATGTCCAGGAGCCAAACTGGACCTTGGAATTGACCTACCACACCTTAGTGCCTTAGTGCGCTCAGGCACACGTTGCTGGGCGTGAGGCCGTTCTTCTCCAGGAAGTCTGGATTCCTAGCGTTGATTTCCGAGATCTTCCGAGATCTTCCGAGATCTTCCGATCAGAATGGAAAGTAACTTGCCCCGCACCGTGGTAAGTTCCATATGTTCCATGATGTTCCATGTCAAAATGCACCAGGATTCAACCAGAATTCAAATAATTCAATTCAGCCATTTCAGCTTTACTCTTTGAATCTGTTTCCTCAAATGGACGGCCAGGAGACGCGAAGCTCACGTGCGACAAGTCATCGGTTTCAGCAGCCGACATGGGGACTGTGGACCGTTTATTACTTAACTGATGGTTGAAACATGGGTTGCATTTGGGCAAGAGGCCTCTTGGCGAACTTGCATAACTTTGCAGATCAGGTCGGTTTTAAGCTTTTAAGTGAGACGAGCTCTAAGCACATGTTCTGCAGTAGTCAGGAGACCTATCACAAAATCTGCACGTTGAATAAGAGCGCTGAAATGGCAAAGACATTTGCGGAGATTGTGGGGTTGGCACCGCTCCCGGAATTTCTATGGAAAAGCACCCCTTGACAAGTGGTTACTCCGGATTACCACATTGCGGGATGTCATGCGCCACCAGCATCTGGGAATCCTGCTGTGCCATGCTGATTTCTCTGATATCATGGGGTAAAAGCGCCTGTTGATGGCGCAGTCAATGCAACTAACTGCAAGCAATAGCTAACAAAACGGACATGCAAATTGGACGAACCCCTAGCCCAAACGCTGACACTGGGGTTGCTGGGACCAGGAAAGAAGTATCAACTGGGGGCATATCTAAACGGTCGTCGTTTCTGCTCACCCAACTAAGCAGCAAATCTAAACAGAAAGTCTCGACAACTGGTGGAGTCAACAGTACACCAAAGCCTAACAACCAACAACACGCCGCTAGCTGAACCAATCCATTTCTGATCACTGGAGGGCAACTCACTCATCATATCTCATCATCGACTCCAACCTGGTCAATGTCCCAATGCTCTGGTTTTCTCCGTCAAACTGGCTTGGCTGCTTGGCTGTGCCTGGCAGCATGGGATTAGACACAATTTGCAGCATTTTGGGTAACAAAGAATAGCTAGAAAATGTGCGCAGATCAAATCCCTAAGTCCATGGAGAAAGTTTCACTTAGGGCATCAACTAGACATCGACATTGCGGGTATCAACCAATGCAGGGAGTCACCAGCTCCAACCGCCAACCGCTGCGCTTTTGCTTCCAGGCTTCAGCGGGAAAACGGCGCAGCCGGAGCCACAGATTCTGAAGTTCGGATCTGAACTCAGAGGCATTCCCTGATCAATCTTGATCCATGAGGATTTGTCAATATTCGTGACTGGCTTTCTATGTGGGCTGGGGAATGATGGGAATGGGCAATGCAATGAGGGACGATCCTAACTTCAAGAAACATCTCAGTGGTCGCGTTGTGAATTGAGCGTCTGCGCCTGTGAACGCTGCCCATTCAATGGACGCTGGCGTTCGAGCGGGACCAAAATTGCGAGAGTCATCCGGGTGCTGCATGAACATATGGCAAAATGGCATCCCACAATCCCATAACTTCTTTGATAAAGTTCTCACCTGAGATTTTTTTGGATATCCATCACATCGCGGCCTTGATGATCTTGATGGGGGCAAAAATCAGCAAGAACAATGCAGCAAGTGTGGCCAAGGAAGAAACCCTGACCTGCCACCCGATGACTCAACGTCCGTCGACCACACAGAGACCGTGAGCGGAGTCTGCTCTGTTGGACGAGATGGACGACAAAGGCATCCCCGAAGAGAACTGAGTCATGGAGGTTCTGATGCAGAAATCACCAAAATCCAAGGTATGGTTCAAGCCATTCTCTCAGTTTGGATCCACAAAGTTAGCGATTTTCAGCATGCACTGTACTGAAACATCCTTTGAATCATGGCTTGACCCGTACGCATACCATCCATTGTTGGTACCATGGCGCAGACACCGGCTGAGCCGGGTGCGCGAAGAAGCGCCTTGAGCCTCGTTGGATTTCAAAGAAATGAACATTCGAAAAAAAACACGAGAGAACATATCAAAACATCACAACTATTTGAAATCCCAGTGGTATCATTGTCACCATTTAACTCTTAGCATTGTGGGGAAAAACCGATCATGGGGCAAACCCACGTTGCAAAGGGTTCAGGAAATCCTGCAGGGGTCATATCTGTCTTTGAAACCCTGAATATGAATCATAATGAGGTAGCCATTGTGCGGCCTCAGCCTATGGAAGTATATTGACAACACGAGATGAGGTGTATCAATTTGAGGGATGTCATGGGACCTTTCTTCAATTCTATCTTCCAGCCGGACTCAGAAGTTAGGCGACTCGAGTGCTGTACAAAAATTTCGTGCACATCATGAATTAGGAACGATGCGACCCCAACTTTGCTGCATGGTGAGCGGTGAGCTGATATTCCAAGGCAAACCAAGGCCGATGCTGGCCCCTCTCTTGAAGTCTGGATATGGCGGATATGGAAAGAGTCTGAAGAGTGAAGAAAAATCAAAAGAAAGACCCCCCAATCCATCCCAATCCCATCAGTGTCGATCTGACGGAATCAAACCGAGACAGCTCAGTAGCTTTCCAAACCTGTCTTTCTGGATGCTTCACCTGCCCACTTCCAAGGGTCACACCAAACCAACCACAGCCAGGCCAGGGCCAGGGCCCAATTTCAGCAAGATGGCCGCGGGGCGAACATGGAGCGGAGCAAGGCATTGCCCGTGTCAGCCAGCAAGGTGATGATGGAAGTCATAAAACTGTAGACGTGCCTGGCAGATGGGATCGATGGCAGACAGCTTCTGCCAAAATTCGGCAGACTATGCCACCATCTTTGCCGAAACTGGGTCAAAAGTCAAACGTATCAAATTCTGTTGGGTCTAAGTTTGATCACCCAATATTGGTGGAAAGTCAAAAGAAAAGAAATAATTGAATTCATCAACATCTATCAACAAACAAACATCATCGAAACAGTATGATTGGATAACAGTTGGATCAGAAAATCATTGGAACATCGTTTAAGACATCGTTTTTCATAATCCATAAATCACAGCTTTTCACAGCTCCCCCGGGTCGTATCCTTTTTCCACAGCTTCGGTGCCGCCGTGCCTTGGCTCCAGCACTTTACAATCGAAGCCACAGCGCTGCAGCACGTCGTGCTGCTGCAGCTGACGGTGCAACGTGCGCAGCGTGGTCTGCAGCAGTGGCGGCTCCCAGGCGCCCGTCCAGAAGAGCAGCTGGCTGCCAGGCACCTCGAAATCGAAACAACGGTGGAAAATCCCATGGAAAAAGATCATACAAGATTCAAAGGTCTCCCTTAAAAGTTGACTTTCAATTATCATCCATATAAATCCTGGATTCTGGTTTTAATATGTTTTAATATGTTTTAATGGTGTTGACCCCATTTTTTCCCATGTTTTCCTTGAGGTTTTCACTCTTCCCACCGGTTTTCACAGGTTCTTCCCATGTCATCCCCACCTGCGCCAGCAACGCAGCCAGCGGCTCAAAGTTCTTCGCCGCGGTGCGTGCTGCGACGGCGAAGACCACGTTCTGCTTGGCGTGGTGCCTGGTGGAATCTGGGAGAGGTGAAGTCACAATCAAAGCCACATTAATGTGTCCATCTCTATATGGAAATATATATGTGGTTATATATGATTATATATAAATAACACACACACATGTATATATATATATTATATGATTACATATGGATATCACCTAATGGGTGGATACGGTGGAGTCAAAACATTTTTGTTGGGTGAGAAAAATGAGCATGAAGTCGCGGGTATTTGCCCAGTTGGATTGGGACATCGTGTGTCCTGCACTGAGTCTCTGAGGATGGTCCTTTATTTGCCAAAGTTCCAGAAACGACTGCTTCGGATTGCCTTCTGATTCACCAGAACAACATACAGAAACGCTTTAAACGCTTAATATATTATATAAAAGGCTTTGACCTCTTTGGGATGTTAGGAGCCTGATTTCCTTCTCTGAAATTCCAACCCCAAACAACTCATCTGCACTCTTGTTGAAGCCACTGAAGTCGTTCATACTTTCCAACTAAAACACGACTTTGGACCGCTGGATTTTTTCCAAACATATCGGCAAATCAATTTCCCAGCACCCTTCGCGACATCTCGCGACATCTACACCCCATCTGTGCCTGCAGAGATCGGCCATGGCCCGGCAGTCGGCCTGGGCCCATTGGATCGGTGCTGGTCGAGGGCACCACTTTGCTACGCGGATGTTTGTCACCTTGAAAGAAACCGGCGGCAGTCCCATCATGATTAAAACTGATATTGACAAGGCAAAGATTTGGATGCTCAAAAGTCATTTTTTACGGGGAAAATTTATAAAGTTACTGGCCAACTTTTCAAATGTTTCCCCTAGCTGTGCTTCGCCTCGTTGTAGGCCTCGGAGCCAACAGGGTTGGCCTTCCAACCAAGGCTCAAATGGGCACCTGTCATGCAGGGGGCTAGGCACCCGGGATGATTGGGACATGATGTCACTGGAATTGAAGGAATTTAAGGATAAGTCGTGTTTTGTGTTGATATAGTGTCTCACTTCACTTCCGTTCTGATCTTCAAACATCCAGCAAAACATTCATTGTGCCATGATGGCACTCTAGTGCGCCCCCAAAAACCAAACACATCATTACTCAACCCTGTAGCCAGTTGCATTAATTTCATTCACCCATCCTCCAAGATTTCCCTGATTGGTCCAAGTGCACGCACATGAATCACAAAAGTACAAAAAATATCAAAAACATCGAACCTACAGATTGGACATTTGAGTTTATATGAGTATCATTCTGAGTTTCAATGATAGTGTTTCAACTGAATTTGAACTATATCCAACTGTATGGGGCAAACCTTGGTACCCTGCAGTTGACCCTAAAATAGTTGGTAGTTACGGATGTTCATTCCATAGCCAAATGGTATTTCATAGGTTTTAATCTCATTAACTCACCATAAGATCACACTTTTATTTAAACCGTCTTCTCGAGCATGAAATCCCCCTTGAATTCCCTTTGAATCCCATGAACTCACCATTTTTCAGAGCCGTCGAACCGCGCCTGGGCACTGCTCCTCCGCGGTCCTCAGAAACTCCTCGGCGTTCAGGACGCCGCCGCTCCAGCGCCGGAGCCCCGGGCCCGGCAGCACCTGGCATTACCCCAAAATGGGGGGGGTGGTGTTTTAGCTGGCCGTTGATTAGCAAAAGGTATAATAATAATATATATATATGTATTCTATTATATATATGTTATTATAATATGATATGATATGATATAATATGGGTAATGTTTCTGACCAGATTAGGGTTGAACAGCGATTCGGGCAAAAAACCATGGACAAAACAATACTGTCATTTTTCTTCAAAGGTGATGAAGTGACATGAAACGGGTGGATAGCGATAGCTTCAATCACGCAATGGTTGCGTCAACCTGCAACCCCATTTGTTTGTCAATAAGGTTTTCTGGTTCTGAACCTAATTTCTGGCAGTTGACGCTGACAAGAAAGGGTTCCCAAACGACTTCCCGCCCAAACCATGGGTATATTCAAAGTTCACCTGATTTCTGGGGGTGTTTGCCATTCTTGGAAATCGCCCTTATCCACTACGATCCTTGACGAAATGCGAATTTTGCTGAGGTTGGGGCGTCGGCATTCAGCCAAACGGCCTTCCGCAGGGGGAAGAAATGGATAGAAAACAACTATGGCACGGCACCTAAATAAAATCTACATAACACACACACACATATATATATATATATATATATCTGTAACTGGGATGGGCCCAGTACACTGGCAGCAACCTGAAAGGGTTTCCTTGTCCACAAGGAAGTGAAAGTGATATGAATTTCCCAAGACTGTTCCTGAATGTTCCACCTGAATATTTCACCTTTCAAGAGTCCTCTCTTCCAACCAAAAGATATCCTGTGTTGACACCAAAGCGCTTTCCCAATGGCTGCTCTCTTTTCCCCGCGTTCCTGTATGTTGGGCCCTTGAGCCAACAGGTATCGACATGAACAGCATAGTGGTAGCTGTTATGGCCCCAAGGCAATCGAATGGTCTGATGAACCGGTGATTTCACACTGGTCTCTCTTAAAAATTCGATTGTTCACCCATGTCACACCGTATTTACGGTTTGCATTCTGTCTCAACGTGAGATCTTCATCATATATACGAAACTTACCAAGCTGTAACACCGTTCTCATGAAAGTTGCATCCATGGGTTTGGTTAAGCAATCGGCTATCATTATGGCAGTGGAAATCCAGCGGCACATGGTGTGTTCACGAGATTGTTCTTTCAAGAGCATCACTTCGATCGTTGTTCGCCACTCTTGACAGTTTGGTACTGCATTTTTCGTGATTAGATCATACAAAGATTTACAATCTGTTATCATGATTCCCTTGTGTTCATGTTTCAGAGAAATCTCCGGCTTTGCCCAAGCAAACAGTGGATTCTTTATGAAGCCCCACATGGTTCGGATCCAGGTCAACTTGTCAAGTGAGCTAGACATAGCATAGGCTTCCGCACTGAGTGTAGATCTTACCACTCTACCAATCTGTTTTGAATGCCACACAATCGGTGAAAACTCCGTTGTTTCATTCTTTGAAAGTTCTGAGGTGCATGCCATGATAAATAGTCCTTGCTGAGCTGTTAACTGCTTGGCGGATGCAAAGCTAGCGTCCCCGAAGCTCGCAAAACAGACATCGTTCATCCTGAGAGGTCTTACGATGACTGAAGTTTCAGCAAAACTTTGGGCTTCCCGTAACACTCTATTTCCTTCAAGTAAAGTTTCAACGGTGGCCGATGTGATCCCCTTCTGAAGGCAGGCGACTTTTGTCGCGATGTCTGGTCTAGAATGCACGGCCGCATACTGCAGACTACCACACAAACCTCTAAGAGCGTTGAGTTCTTGACTAGTTATGGGACTAGTAGTTTCAGTACGACGCACTTTTGGAATGTCAATAGGAGAAATTTTATGGATATACCGTCCTTGATTTACTTTTATTGAAAAGTCAGGCAACTGTTCAATGTCTAGACCCGTAAACTTGAACTTGCTGTACTCTCGGGTGCCAAAGGGAAGACTCTTTTGTAATTTTTCAAGTGCTTTTTCGAAATTCGCGTTTCCTCCACCCAAGCCATCATCCACATGTGTTCCTAGAATACCGTCTAGGTTTTGGGGGTCCTGAGGATTTCTAAGTAAAAAGAGGCAATTGTCTAAGGGATGTGAAGTAAAACCAACATCTTCAAGTCTTTTCCGGAATTCCCGATAGAACAAGAGGGGTGCGTCGACTCGGCCGTAGGCATTCCCTTGGAGTAGACATACCTGGTCATGTCCCATTCCTAGAAGAGATTTAAGTTCGGATGGGGCTTCCATCGCAAGTTCCCTTTCATCTGATTTACCCCTTAAGAAAGCAGTGGTGATGTCGAAGGATTGGATTATCCACTTCATACTACTTACTGTTTGTAGTAGGAGCATTCGTGAATCCCTTGTCAGGGTTGGACTATCAGAGCTTAAGTTATCTATGTCAGGGTCCTGGAAACCTTTAACCACCAACCGTGCCTTTGGTTTGCGACCACTGGGTTGGCTTAAGTCTTCCTTCCAGGTGAGTATCCATCGGGATGCCAGAATTCTGGACGGATGAATGCGGTCTCTGACAATGGCTTTAACTGTGTTTGTGTCCAACCAACACTTGAGTTCCTTTTGCTTAGCTTGCTGAAACAGTGCTTTTTCCTGAGCATTAAGTTCGCTGTAGACTACTTCATTTCTGGATTTCTTGGCGGCCACAGTCAAACACGGCAAATGCTCAGCGGGCTTCTTCAGGAACTTTTGCAGCTGTTGTCTGGGAACATCAAATTCAAAGCTGGCACATACTTGTTCTTCATTCTCTGGATTACCCCATATTACCCCATCATCCTCTACGATATCTCCAACATCAGTTGTATTTTCTATGAGGGTAACATTGTAAACAGGTTCCATACTTGGTTCATCCCCATCTGAAGTCTGGTCGGTTTCAAGACTGGCAGTCGATGGGTTTTGTGATAGCTGATTTGATTCCCTGTTTTCGGCTGCATCTTCCGGCACGGAAGAAATCGGAGAATTCGGCACGGGCGTGGCTTGTGCTCTTGCCAATTGATCTGCGGTGGACTGACGCATGGCATCGTCCGGCATTGCATGAGAAACTTGCCTTTTGGGCTCTTCTTCAGGCTGCAGCTGGTGTTCATCATCAGGGTTATTATCAGGGTTGGGATTATCTCTGAGAGGGTCTACAGCTTCGGTTTCCAGGGGCTCTTCAGGTTCCAAATGACTCAGGTCTGAGTATTGGAAAAGTCCGCTTCTTTCTTTGAGTTGTATTTGTAGACGTTGTGCCATTTGTTGTAACTGTTCATTTGTTGAGGTTTGGTTCATGATTGAATGTTTTTGGAACTCTCTCAAGGAAACTGGACGTAGATTTTCTTTTGCACATCTAAGTAGTCGATTCATATGAGTTATCCAGACTATTGTTCTTGACTCTTGGCTGACAACTTGAGCAGGTCCGTTCCATCGCCCTTTTTCCAACATATTGGGTGACTTGCGTCGGTCCCAATACATGCACAGTTGGCCACAGGCCCAAGGTTGGCTTGTTCCTCTGGATTGACGTGCCAAAGCCCGACGTAGGGCATCGCTGTTGTCAGCACGTGAGAAAGCTGCTCGGGCAGCTGAGCGAAGTTCCAACCTCTTGCGGAAACGGTCCGATGCTATGTCACTGCCATGGCATGATATGTGGGCACTCAAATCCTCGTCTTCGACTATTGATGCTGGCAATTTGGATGCACGTCCAAGAACTGCTTGTTCAGGGCTGTAGCCATTGACAATCGACATTGTATTCTTTGCATGAAAACATTGCTGGAGTGCTTCATCAAACTGGGCTAAGTCTTGAATCGTTTGCTCATTATCAATACGGTTTAACATTTCTTTGACGATACCACCATGTCTTTCTATCCTTCCACGTTGCCATGGAGCGACGGAGAGGATTGGACGAATGTTGTTCTCTTGCAACATCAACTTCCACTCATCGGTCATGAATTCCCCGCCTTGATCGTGAGCTAGATTCTGTGGTGGGCCAGCCCATTGAAACCACGTTTGTTTCACAACCTTGATGGCTCTGTCGGAGTCTCTGGTGGTTCGCGTTCCCAAGTGAAATCTGGTTGCTTCATCCAGTATGTGCAAAACATATACTTTTATTCCGCTTTTACCCTCCCAGTCAAACCCATCAAGATAAACCTTCTCATTGAAGTCGGATGCATCTTTTAAGTTACCTGGGGTAGTCAAGGCTGGTGGCTTGCGTTCTGCACAGGATGCGCATAGATAATCACTTGCACCCTCGATCAAGGCTCGTTGAGCGTTGGCTTCTGCAAGATGCCGTGATAGCTTTTCGGCAGTTGGATGGCCCAAATTATTGTGTAACTTCTTGATTATTCCTTGGTCATGTTCATTAAGGGCTAGAAATCTGGGGCCTGAAACTGCGGCTGCTAACGGCGTCCATGTTGGCACATCAACATTCGATGGTGTCACTCTTGTTGACGTGACAGGCACTTCAGGCAAGTTGGACGATTCTATGGCAGACTCAACATGTGGCAAACGACTTTCGACTTCATGAGATCTCTTTTGGGCAAAAACACAAATCATAACATGACTGGGACATGCTTTTCGGTGTTGTTGTGCCTTGGACAGTTGGGTCCAGTCTTCCATGCCTAAGTCTTGAATCTCATGATTGAATCGTTTCATGGCCACTGTTTGTCGGATCGGCAGTTCGTCTACCCATCCTGCATCACCAACTATGAACCGCTCAAGGCCCTTACCAGCCTTGATAGCGCCCACTCGGAGATCGGGCAACAACTTCTGGATTTTCTGGACAACTGGATTGAGGGGATTGGTCCAAACTTTGACACCAGATTTAGGCAGCTCTTGCCGCACCTGTTCAAGAACATCTTTCCAGGGCTCGCTGTTTGAGGTTTCAAGACCTTCCATGGGACTGTCGTGTTCCGTTTTCTGTCGTTTCACTGGAGGCTCTATATCTTCAGTATGCATTATAGGTAATTCCATAGGCCCTTCTTTAGTGGCTAGTATCCCCTTGACAATTGCTTTGGCAAAGGTTCTTGGATAGAAACCTGCAAACTTCGATACCTGCATGCGATGACCTTTCCATGTACATGAGCCGGCTATTTGTTGGTGGTCATGTTGCTTGGAACATATTCGGTCATCCAGTGCTTGAAACATTTCTCTCGAAGTTGTTTGGATTCGAGTGCGCTTCTGCATTGGGTCATCTGTGTTGGGATGTCGGAGTCCGACCATGCACTGATCAAGCCTGGCAGCAAGTGTCCATCGCAACATCTCGGCTAACTGCGGATGCTTCCAAATGCTAGCAGTCCATGGATTCTCCATGTGGGCATGCCTACCAGATGAAACCTGTAGTTTGCAAATGAGATTGCACAGTTTGATATGAACTCTGGCGTGATACTGTTCCACTTGAATCTTCTGGAAGCATTCGAGACTGCGACTTGCATTGAAACGGTTCCAGGAGCTCCATGGGCCACACTCCGGTGACATCCATACATGCTTGGGACGGTAAACCATGATCATGAACAACAGATTGGCTCTACCTTCACTAGTTCTCAAATCGCCATCCTCAAGAGTAAATCTTTTGGCTTTCAAACCGCATGCTTGAGCTACTTCCGTTAGTTGACTATTGGGATAGGCATAAACTTCGAGAACATCTAACTGAGGACATTGGTTTCTACCTTTCTTCATCAGTTTTTGGGCATCCATGAGCCATATTCCTTCTTCATCATTCAACATGGGACCATGGTTTGTTTTATCCTTGGCATGATATGCATGGCTGTCTGGCGGTGGCTCCCATTGTCCTAGCCGCTCACATGCTTCAGTGCTGCTTCTTCCAGATGACGCCGAGTCATAGCGTAATTGGCATAGTCCTCCATGTCCTCTCCCAGGTTTGAGATTCGGGAGAGAATCCACTTTGTGTAACCGGGATCGGAATCGTAGGTGCTCACGTATGTCTTTCCCGGATGCTTCTTTCCCCATGTGATAGTCTTGTTTCCCCAAGCTTCCAGTGCGGCTTGAGTCAATGCGACTTGGCTTTGGGAATTTTGCATCTCTGGTGATCCTTGATGACCCGAACTTCCTTGGCTTCGATGAGTCGTTGATCCTGGCAGTGGGATTCCTGCAATCTTGGTCTTGGAATTGGCTGCAGCTGCTGCTGGCACCGGCAGAGTAGGCACCCTCTTCGGAGGTGATGTTGGTTGGAAAGAACTTGGGCCCACTCCATTGCCAGGGCATGAGCCGAGGAACATCTGATTGGCTTCGGCCACTTCCATTTCGGCGAGTTCCCACTGTTCGAAACCCATCATCAAAGTCGGGTCTGGGCTCATTGTTGGAGGTCCACTGGTTGCTGACTTGTCCTTGGTGAACTGGTTCGTGATGAGATTCCCCAGCTCTTGGATCTTGGCTTTCTGACTGCGCACCTCGCTCACCAGTTGATTGATGGGCAACATCTCTGACTCCTGCATCTGCGTCTCGGGTTCCACCGCCTTGGTCATCGTGAAGAGCATGAAGAACAAAATTCGGAGGCTCTCCATCACTTCTTCGCACAAATTGCGAAGGGCTTCGAGGACTTCCTGGCGATTCGGCATGACTTGAGTCGATCTCGGGAGTCAAACCTGGAGGCTGATCGATCGGGTCACTTGAAATTGCAAAGGCTGCTTCATTCGAATGCTCACTGTTTCGGCACAGGTCGGCAATGTCAATCATGAACAATCCATTTGAGTTTTCTTTGAGAGGCAAAGATCTTTGCAAAGTCTTGAGAAAACAGGTATTCTTAGACAAATCTATGTTGGCCCCTAAGCTCTTCATGGTTTTGATGGACAATAAGAATGGTGTTGCCTTTGGAACAACTTCAACCAACAACCAGATTCTGTGTTTTCCATACACCAGTGGGATTTGCAGTTGTTTAAAACTGTACGACACCTGGTTATTGCCAAAACGAAAACCAACTTTGCTCGGCTGTTCTCTGACCTGCTGGCGGATGCTCATGGGCAGCTTTTCCAGAACTGCGGGCACTAAATCGTTTCCGATGACACTTCGGCTTGCACCTGTGTCAATTATGGCAAGTCCTGTCATGGACACAGCTTTGACAGTCATTTGACTGTGATGGCACTCGGCGGGCTCACTGGTGATTGAACCCTTGGCTTCCCTCTGCATGGCTCCATTCCTGTCCCAGGGTGGGACATGTTGGCGGATGCTGTGGCTGGCTGTCTTATCCCCTTTATGATTATCCCCTTTATTTACCTTCTTATAACCCTTCAGCTTATTGGTCCAAAACTGATAGGCTTTTCGGCAAATATCGGGACGGATGCAAGACGGATGTTTCTGAGGAGACACTTGTTGAACTACCAGACAACTTTCATGCTCGACAACCCCGGCCTCGAAGTTCTCTTCAATGATGACCTGCGGCAAATCATGTGGTGAATCTTCATCTTCAGCATGAGCTACATTGGCAGTCTCTCTGGGCTGACCTTGGCGCTGGGGGCATTCTGCCTTCCAGTGCCCCAAAGCACCACATATCTTGCAGTGAGTTCTGCTGATCCTTGCGAGTAACTCATCCTTTCCACTTCCTTTGAATCCACCCTTTTTGCCACCTCGTCCAAAGCTTTTACCTCGTGATTTGGAAGGCCAGAATCCACGAGAGCGCTTTCTGTCACTGATTCGAGCTCTAGCCTCCTGGTACGTCACCAACGCACTTTGGAGATCCGGAATGTCCTGCATCATGTCCTCGAAGTCACGTTCAAACTGTTGAACAACCATGGCATCCTCATCCCCTGCTTGCACCAAAGACTCAATAGTCTCTGCTGTTAGGGCTTCGTCCTCATCCACGGAGACATGGTATGTGCTTTGCGGCATGGTTTCATCTGCATGGTTGACATGTTCATCACCTGTATCAACATAGTTGGCTGGGTATACCTTCTTCTTGACCTCTCCAGAACCAAACAGTACTCTGGTTGACAACGTTCGCATGGCTTGCTCCACTTTGGAAAGGGAAAGTTCACCCCCTGTCATGGAGAGCACACGTTTCTTGTCTTCGTTTGACAAGCACGACTGCCTGAGCAATATGAATGCCTGCATCTCAGATACCGTCACTTTGGTTCCTAGGTCATGGAAGGCCGCTTGCAACCTCAGAGTGAAGCTGTGTGTAGCCTCGTCCGATTTCTGTGTCACTTTGTACATGGCTTTCTCGAAAAGTTCAAACGTTTTGAGTTCTGAGGTTTCTTCCCAATCTGCTAAAGCACTAAGCAGGTACTCAACGCCTAGCTCGGCATCGACCAGCTTTGCCGGATCGAGCTGGCGAACCTGACTCCATGCTGTTCCCTTGCATTGCATGGCAAGGCGAGGCGCTAGATTTGGTTTCTCTTTGGAAGGAAACACACCGTGCAGAAACCTGGCTTTCTGTATGAACTCTCTCACATCGTCTGTACTCGGATCAAAACTTGGCAATTGACTCCACAATCCGGAGCTTGTCTCATCTCCAGCACTGGAACTTGACATGCTTCAGGCTGTCCCACAGCTACGCAAAGACAAGTCAGATCACCGGCTTTTCACGCAAAAATGGCAGCGTGAGCCAACTGGCTCCGCTACCAGTGTAACTGGGATGGGCCCAGTACACTGGCAGCAACCTGAAAGGGTTTCCTTGTCCACAAGGAAGTGAAAGTGATATGAATTTCCCAAGACTGTTCCTGAATGTTCCACCTGAATATTTCACCTTTCAAGAGTCCTCTCTTCCAACCAAAAGATATCCTGTGTTGACACCAAAGCGCTTTCCCAATGGCTGCTCTCTTTTCCCCGCGTTCCTGTATGTTGGGCCCTTGAGCCAACAGGTATCGACATGAACAGCATAGTGGTAGCTGTTATGGCCCCAAGGCAATCGAATGGTCTGATGAACCGGTGATTTCACATATATCTGCATATATATATATATATGTGTGAAATCAGTATACTTAAATATTGAATAGATGAAGATACGCACACATTGACCTCAAAGTTGTGTAACTTGTCTGAGAGATTTGCATGCCCTCACCTGTCCGTTGGCGGCCAGCTCGCCACTGTGCTGCGCCAACAGCGGGAGGCAGCGCCGCACCGCTTCCAAGTCCTATGCCGGAGAAAGTTAGAAACTGCATCTACCATTCTACAGTACCCCTATATTTATGTAGGTATATATATGTATATAATATATATATAATATACATATATTGTAGAATATGTGTATATCTCAAAAACATGGGTCAATTCATCATGTCAGGGACAAAATAGCACCCAGCTTGGGGATGGTCACGGATGGTCCTTGAAGTCGAACTTCACGTGACGCCGGCCATCCCGGATGAGCTCCTCCAGGAAATCCTGCCAGTCCCGTTCCAAGGTGGAAATCGGGAACGGAAACAACAAGGCTTCAAAGGCTTCAAAGGCCTCAAGTGATTCCGATTCTTGCCATCTTGGTATCTGGGCGTCGCGTTGTCGCCATTGGTCACATCGGTCACATCGGTCACATCGGTCACATCTCTGGCTCCTCAAAGGTGAGATCTGACGTGAGGATTGGCCTTGGCTGCGCGGCTACCCGGATGTCAAAAAACCCGGGCTGCCAAGTGCGGAGGGTACCACCGTTTCACGAGCAGATCACCATTGGGAGATGGCCAACTAATTAAGCAAGGATCTATGAATCCGGGGTTAACATTACCAACTATTACCATAAATGAACATAAATGGCAAATGTCTAAATCTTTAAGTCTTCCAGCACCCCTCCGTTGCAATGCCGCCTTCGCAGAACTGCCATTGGCCAGAATTGCATGTTCTCAACACATTCACCACTTGACATCACAGACGTGCCAGGAGTGCAGCCTTGCAGCACTTGCAACTGGGCAAATGAAACTCACCCAACTCGTGCTACTAACTTGAAACATCTTGAAACCTCAAATCGCATCAGTTGGGCTTCGGTATCACCTCCTGCAATCTCCTGCATACGTCGGTGTATGTTCCTGGGACGATGCAAAATGAAGAAATGGTTGGGCGCAGCGGCGCACCCAACTCGGGGCCCTGGCGGATGAGCCATCACAGGAACCACCTCATCGCCACTTCCTGGGAGCCCATGGGTGCAACTTGGCGTATCAGCAAACACAAAAACGGTTACATTGATATCATTGATCAAATGTGATCAGTATGGCGCAATGCGCCACAGAATGGTTTAAGTCGGTGAGTTGAGAGTTGAAGTGCTGTCACGAATTGAAGTCCTGTGAAGTAGCCCATGGCCACATCCACCTCGATGGCCGTGACCGTGGGGTCCTGCCGGAAACCATCCATGGATTGAACCTGGTCGAATCTGGATGGAACCAGAATCCCTCACCTGCAGCGCAGTCTCCAACTTCTTCTTGGAGACACAGGAGTGGGCCCACACCTCAAACATGAAGTCTGACATGAAATGTATCCAGCGTTCCTAATGGGCATTATGCAACAAAAGGCATGTAGATTCACGCAAGCGAATTTTGAGATAAACACAATATGCCCACAGATCCCACAGAACATGGAAACATTATGTGCCCCAGTGAAACACATTTTTTTTGGGGGTGGATTTTTTAAACATCGTCGAAGCACCCATGACTCTAGGTTCCATCCTGGGCGAGATGACCACCATGACTGAGACCCTCCCGATTTGGGACTTGGAAAAAAAACCACCTGGATTTCACTATCGCAGAAGGAAACATCGCGAAAACCAAGTCTAAAATGATGAACATGATTCAACATGATTCAACATGATGAACCTTTCGAAAGGTGTCTCCTTTCGACTCCGACCCCACCTGCTCCGGGGAAGGCAGCGGCGCCCAGTGGAGCCGTTTCGGCGCTTTCGGGGCTCTGGGCAGTTTGGGCGGCGCCTTGGGAACCTGGCAACTGCTGCAACCGTCCATCCGCGGCGTCCATTTGTCTCACTGTAGATTGGGATGTCATGATATGTCGGAGACAGAATCGCCTCAGAAATGGCACACGCACGCACAATATATATAATATATAATATTACAAAATATTATACATATATATATATATATATATTCTATTATATATTATACATCTCTCTCTCTCTCTCTGTGGGTGTGTCTGTGTGTGTGCGTGTGCGCGTCAGCCATGCAGCGATGACATCTCTCGAGTTTGGGCACGAGCCTCCAGCACTGGCGGTTGCACCGCCACCTGTGCAGCTTGACCCAGCTGACTTGGCAATGCAGTTTGATGCAAACCCAAGAGCCACAGTCCTGGCGGAGCTGGCCAACTGACAGCGAGTTTTGAAGGGAAAAACATGGAAACACCATTGATATTGAAATAGTTGAAGCACTATTGAAATATATTCCCTGAATTTGTGCGAATATTGTGCGAAATATTGAAACTTCACCAGGCAACCAAACAGCCGTCCCTTTGTCATGCTGATTCTATCCAGGCTTCTGCCAAGAAAGCATGCGGCGGCCACGTTCAAAAGACATTTGATACAAAAACAAACGAACCCAAAGATAGGCCTCAAAGGCTCCCCGCCACAATCGGACATTCCGTGACATGGATCAACAGATTATAAGATTTTCCAGAGAGAAGAAGACCACCTACAACTCAAGTACACGTTTTCAACATCTTCTTTTAGTGCATATATATATATAATATGTATTTATTTATCTGTATGTATGTATGTATGTATGTATGTATGTATGTATGTGTATACATAGGCTGGTAAAGATTTGTTTCTCATATCCACAGCAGCCCCACCTGCAGCTGTCAGGGACGCCTTGCTCCGTCCCGATCTCCGCGGCTTTGACAAACTCATGACGGGAGACCGAGATCTGAAAAACAGCCGAAATGTGCCAAAATCATCCAAAACCTATATTTTTGTCATAATGGTGTGAACTTTGTGAAGTTGCAGATCGATTAATTATATAAATTAAGATGAACCGTTGTTTACTTAAGATATCAACGAAATCCACATTTTTCGTCCCCCAAGCCCTGAGCCAAGCTGCGAAAAAATGCCACGTGTGAAGCTCTGCAAGGCGTTCTGGAAAAGTCTCTTTGCCCTTAAATCCTTTAAACAAATCTAAGTTCCTTCCGATGAAACTGCTTGGGGTTTCCTTGGGGTTTCCTTGTGACGCATGGCGGAAAAACTGTTGCCGGGAGAACTTCCACAATCATTCTGCCACGCTGCCACTCACGCGGTGCCACGCGGTGCCAAGCTCCTGGTAACGGGAACATCACCGGAGGATCATTGGCACCTGCAAAAAACATCAAAAAAGCCATGCAAAAGCCATGCAAACAGTGGGAAGATGTGACCAATGTGACCAACATCCAAAGGGGAAGCCATGGATCCCGACATGGGCTGAAAAAGGGATCCCATCTGAATGGTAGGCCACCAGCAAGTGACCATCCCAAAACATTTCAGTTCAGCTTCTTTGCTACATCTCTAACAAATAACATGGTACACCTCTGAATTTCCCTCTGAATTTCCCTCTGAGACTTGAAACAGGTCCCCATTGCCGAGAAAGCTCTCATTTTACCAGTCGGACAGGCTCTCGACATTGCAGCTTTGGAGCGGCTTAGCCAGCGCCATGGCTCCGTGAAAGTCCCCAGCGAAATCGCTGTCTGGGAGACACATTTGTCGCTGTGTCGCCACAAAAACATCCCGTTTGTCGCAGAAAAAGATTGGGAAGCTTTCAATAGCTTCTTCTTGAATCCCAGCTTCATAGGGATCTTAATATGCACAGCTCAGCTCTAACTACCGGCTGGTAATAAATCCAAGTTAATCTCTTTTCTACCGTTTTTGAGCGTTACTATAGCTGTTGGCTGGTAACAAATTTTCATTCGTGCGTGGAGCCTTCCATGGCGCTGCTTAGATCAGCTAAAAAATCACAACCATGGCCGCGGCAAACACGGCCCAGTCCCACCAGCGGATGCGATACACACCACCCTGCTTCGCTTGAGCCTTCTGTGAGGTCGGGTGGAAGGGTGGAACTTTCATCGTAACCACATGAGAATCAGTTAGGTAAGTTGGGTAAAGGATAGCCGGATAGCCGGCCGGGTCGTGTCCTTAGCCACTCTTTGGTCATCCGAGTCCTCCTACCATTTTCTGGGGCCTCTGGCATTGGCCCGGTTGGGTCATGTTTGAAACAGCCAATAAGAAAATGAAAGTACCATGGTGGATTGCCAAGCGGCCAAGCATCACTGGGATTGCTGGTGGAAGCTGTCTCCAAGCTGCATTCCAGCTTTCTATGGTGATTGCTGGCCTGCAGGGTATGTCCGAAAGTTGGGAAACCCGTTGCAGGACCATCGGTTTGACCCAGCAATTGGGGCAGTCCTAGGAAGGTGTCATCTTCGAGCACCCTGACATTCACGGATGGAAACCCTTGGAAACCGGAAACCCAAATCCCCAACCAGGACATCAACGATGTCGACGACACCTTCCTGCTGCAAATTGCATTGCTGCACCGGTTTCACCGGTACCTGCTCTGAGCCGAAGAAGTCCCACGGGTTGCAACGAATTTCTGGCCAGGTTCCGAAAAGAACATGAAAAGGAAACAACATTTCCTTTCCCATCCTTTCACGTCGCAGCCACACTTTGGATTTGCCATCTAAAACCCGAAGCACTGGCAGCTGCATCCAATATCTCCTTCGAATTGCGTGTTGACAAGTGCTGATTTCTTCACAGGTTTCGTGTAGTGATCCCAATGATGTATTACTGTATGACCTTGAAGTATCTTGAAGTGGCTTACTTGTCACGGAGGTGCCAACTCCAAAAAATCAAAACATGGTGGGCTACCTGCAGTAGTCTTGAGCGGGGATCTGTGTCACTATCGAGCAAATCCACGTTGATAGTGTGGCCGGAAAAGCTGCAAATGAATTCCGAGCACTCTCTCGTCTGAGAAGCTCCCAGTTGCCATTTTGCTAAAATTTCATGAAACCAAATAAACAAGGTCAGTGAAGATCACCCGAAACGATGCGAATTCTTACGGGTCGATCCGAACTCAGGACGCCCCTTGAGGGTCTCCCTCCAGCGTGTCGCAACTGCCGCAACTGCCGCTGCAACTGCCGCTGCAACTGCCCTGGCTGTCGGACCACGTCTTTGACATGAGGCTCTTGGCACAGGATTCGCAGAGAGGATCTGGCGTCAACGTGTAGGGAGACTCCCTGCAACCACCTCAGTGACTCAGAGAAACAACAAAACGGCCCAACGGCCAAAGTTGAGCTCATGATCACATATCAACAAAATATCAACAAAATATCAACAGATTGGGACATCCATGTGGTTCAAGGCTGACTGGCCAAGGCACAGCCGACACAGGCCCATTCATCCAGCCAGGCGTTCAATGAGGCGCTCTCGGCGGTTTTGAGGACCAGGTAGGTGTCCTGGATTACCGCAGCATCCAATGGAGAATTCACCAGACTGGGGACCCAAAGATCGGTATTTGGTTAGTCCTTGGAGTGGTTTTTACATTGGGAACTTTGAATTCACAGTGGCTTGTCCCACTACAGTAACTACCGGGAGAAAATATCTTTCATCGGCACCAAGGTAAGTTTTAGCAAAATAAACCAACTCAAAACAGATTTTGTTTGCCGCTTGTGCTCTTATATTTCTTGGATCCCCTTCAAACAGAACAAATACTATTACTATACCTCGCTTGAGCCGTTTCGCAAAAAAACAGACCCCTTCCACCAGCCCAGCTTCGCGGCCCCGAGCCAGAAGCCTCGGGAAAGGTAGCCGCTGCCCATACAGTTAACCGTATGGGACGACCCAGGCAGTTTTTCATTGCCGTAGCCCTATATTTCATCCCAAAGATGGGATACAATCGGATACAATATCATGTTAATCATGTTTATTTATTTGGCAATTTGCCACCATGCTTCCTTCAATGAAGTGCAGCATGTCTGCAGTATGTTCATTCAGATTTGCACTTCTACCAGCCCATAAAGTTAGGGAAACATGGAAACCATTCCTTGCACCTCAGGATTTCAGCAGAGTTGCGTGTACCCGAGCTTCTCAAATTCCGGAATGATATACCATTCCTCACAGCTGCAAGTCTCCCTTTTCACGAACTGAAACAGTTCATGACCTTGGAGCCTTGGCTTCTCTTCTTTTTGAAGCTGGGCCCAAAAGCCAAAGCCATGCAATTCATGCTGCAAAGGCAATTTTGAGATCCAGAGCCAATTGCCCCCAATTCAATAGTGTAACAACAACTGTTATGGACCCCTGATGGACCCAAACAAGTTGTTGTTTGACTTCACGGCAGAGGGTCACAATTGTAGCCGGCACGAGCGTTGCACAATCCATTGCCTCAGGCACTGAAGCAGCCCAGCCACACAAAAAATGCCAACAGCAACAACTTGCCAACCAACCAAAAAGGGGTATCTTCAATATACCAAATCTGTTGGTTTATCCTTAGTTTCCTTGTGAAAGTTGCAATTTTTAGATATAGTCCATTCTTGGACAACTCCAACTCTCCAACATATTTTTGGTCTTGGTAAAACCACCTCCATTTTATCCATTGTATCCATTTTGTTTGACTGGGTGTCCATGCCCCACATCCCATTCCCATCCCATTCCCATTCCCATCGACGTCGAGATGCTTTCAAATTGGATGACCCAAGGCAGTTCCTCCGGGCGATCGGCACAGTACGCCGCCAAAGATCTCCTGGGTCGAGCCCGCGAGCCCGCGCGGGCTCAGGATCTGTAGACACAAATGGTTCAGAGACGTTCAGAGTTTCTGACAAATTATGACGAATGTCACTAACACATGTCACTTATCATATCTTCAAAGCACAATTAGCACAATCTCTCTCTCTCTCTCTCTTTATGGCCATCTGTCTATGGTAACTCCATGTAAAGCTGCAGATATGCTATATATATATATATTCCATGGGATTTATCCCCCATGGTTTCCCCATCCAATTCACCAGATTTTCACATCTGCCATGGCACAGGATCTCCACATCAAAGCCTTCAGTGTCAATGATCAGGACCTCGCAGCCCTTGAAACCCAGCTCCTCCACCAGACCTAGTGAAGTTGCACAAATTGTCACAATGGGAAAGTGGGGTAATGAAAAACATTGAAAAACTATGCTTCAGAATGGATGAATAGTGGCCCTGATGGATCTTAATGCTTCATATTGGATTGGGTTTAATATTGATTAATTCCCTGAGCAAACATGGACAATCCAACGACAACCCTCCATAGTTGGATGATTTTTCCAGTGAAATGCGCCGATTTCGGGGCTTTCCCACCGCCGGAGGGTACATCCCAGTGCTTAGTCGCCGGCGTTCCCAAGTCCATAGAGGCACCACATCCTGGCGACGGATGCCTTTGTTCGAATGGCGAGTCCAGACCAGAGGACCTAGGCCTGTACCAACACAGATCACAGGTCTAAACGCACACAGTCTAAATCTTTCCACACTCAAAACCTGAAGTATCTGAAGTTGAATCTACAGTATCTCTCCCCTCTCATGATCTGAATACAAAAAAAGAAGTGGTTTTCCAAACTGCAACGCTGCACCGCAGGACCCTTCCAGTCCTCTGTGATGGGCACGTGCACGCCCAGCGGGCCGAGCTGTTCCTCCAAGATATGGTGTCGATCTCGAAGCCAATCGGACAACTCCTGCCGTCAATACGTCGTCCATCTTTCTAGGTATCTATACGTATCTATATCTATATCTATATATATATACACATACACATAGATAGATAGATAGATAGATAGATAGATAGATTAGATTAGATTAGATTAGATTAGATTTGATTTAGATTAGATTAGATTAGATATGATATTAGATTAGATAGATAGATAGATAGATAGATCTATATATATATATATTAATATATGTAGAAATATCTATATCCACACGTACATACATGACATCATGCATTAGAATCAAACTCAGCAGTTGCTGCGGCAGAACGTGGGGCTTCTGAACTGCAAACCAGGATGTGCGGGTACCTGTCTAAATGGGCTCTGCCGTATCCCAATAAAAGGGCGACCATCTAGAACCGAACCGAACCGAGATTTGCCTCCACGCAAGACATGTTGCGCAGGTAGCTCATCTGCAGCTCGTAGTCCGCGGGATTCAAAAGGATGGGACCGAAATTCTTGGAATTTCGGAATGATTGGCATCTCAACCGTGGCAATCCGTGGCATGTTTCTGGTTGATGTTTCTGGTTGAAACGTAGTTGGATGAAATTTGGCCCTCAGGCCTCCCGGGCCGCGGGGTCCAAGCACTGCAGTTCCTTCTGGCTCAGCTCTTCCACACGGTACATCAGCGTGCGTCCGGTGTACTCCCCCAGGGCCGCCTGGGACTTCCAATGGATTCTGACAAAGGTTTCTGCATGTATGGGAAGAATAATGAAAATATAGGAGATGTAGATGGAAAATGATGGAAATTGGAAACATCAAACAGCCCTTAAAAAATCTGAAGGGATGGATGATGGATCCGAGATGCAGCGGGAATTGATTTCCTCTAGTTTCGATGGGCGTAAACGCGCCAGGTGCTTCAAAGGTGCCTGGACTAAAGCCACGTTGTAGTCGTACCCGGTGTCTTTGGCCAGGTGGTATGCGGCTTCCAAATGCTTCCACACCTGGGTTGCTCTCAGTACCCGTTTGGAGAGTGGAAACTCGCGCCCCGCGGCGCAAAAGGACCCCGACTAACTACATTTCCAATGAGGTAACATAGCGACATGACAAACTGTTCAAATCCCAAAAAACTGGCTGGTCAAGTCAATCAAATCTCCAAATTTCTGGGAAAACATCAACTGGACCAAACAGTTGGGACTCCCCTGGCGGTTGTTTTCTAAACCCATCTGGCAACAGATCAGCGAGGCGCCGGTTCCACGGCCACACCACAGAAGTCGCGATCCCGGGAGACGGCTGAAAGCAGCCTGCACGATGCGATTTTTGGGGGTTGAAAGATGTTGAAAAAACCACCATCAATCTGCATGGAGTCTGCATGGAGTCTGCATGGAACACCATCAACTAATTCGCTTGTTTTGTTGCAAAGAAAAAAGGTTGATTTTAGCGTGGGATATGAGGCTTGGTGGTGACGCCAGCAGGATCAAATCTTCTTTTGGGAAACACTCTGAAAAATCCAAGATTTTCGATATATCCGAAATGACTTGAAGGCAAAACCCATTTGTAGTGGGACCTTGTTATAATTTTCAATCCATGGAAGCGTTGCCCTCGTGGACTTGGGAGACATGAGTTGGCCATCCATGTTGCAGCAGCGAGTTCCGGACTGCGAACTTACCATCTGACAATCCAATCTCTGATGGAAAACAACTCTTTTCCACGTTCCATCTGCCATTTCTTTTGAAAAACATTTTCCACAAAAACATTTGCTTGCTTTTAAAAGCCTTACTTTTTTGAAACAAAAACTACACCAACTTTCCGCTGTCAGCTACCAAGCCCTTCGTCCAAGGCACCACCCGAGATTGGGATTTGAGTCTCCCCAGTCGTGCAGAAAGGTTCGGTTGTCTCCAAGTCCCACCTGCGATGCGCTGGAACTGGAGAATAAGCAGATTAACCTGCTGCCAATTTTTCTTGGTTCAAAGTTGATCAACGGAATTTAGGAATCCATCCAACATCCCAATCATGTCCAATCAGATTCACCAATTTCAAAGAACAAACCATTGATCCTACCCACTAAAAATGGTCTCTGGTGGCCACGCCTGCACCACATGGGCACGACTGCCTGGCAGGGATGGGTTCGCTTCAAGTCTGTTCTCTAAATCTGGTCTCCCTAAAGTTATAGGAATTCCAAATTGTAAACCTATTATAAACATATCTCATTCATATTGTGTACACCTTTCCAACCTTTCCAACGGTCCCGTCACTGGCCTTCTGGGAAATTCCCATAGGTCCACGCTCCGCTCATGGCTGGAAAATGTCTGATTTTCTGGTCGTTGGACGAATACGCCGTAAACATGGGTTTATTCATAAGTAAACATCAGGTTTTAACCTTGTTAAACCAGGTAAATCACCAGGTACATCATCAGGTATGACATACCCCCTGGTAAACATAGCTATGGAAAGATCCACCATTTTTAATGGGAAAATCCATTATTTCAATGGTCATTTTCAATAGCTATTCTGACATAACCAGAGGGTAAGTTGTGACAGTTATGCACTGTTGGAATGTCCACAAAGCTGGTGAGTTTCATCAGGGATGGCGAGCTCGAGCCATGATTCCGCCAACTTCGAAGCCAAGATTTGAAGTTTCAATGGGAACTTGGACTACATATGATTATATAGTTATACATATAAACATATATATAATATATATATATATCTATATCAATATATATATATATGTATATTGTGTGATGTGTATACCAAATCAAATCTACTTTAACTGTTCGTGTATAATTCGGTTGGATACCACTTTCCAACCGCTTCTCCAACCACCGACCCAGCCACGTGTGCCACACATATTTCACCGCGAGGTAGTACAGGCACCGTTCACCTGGAATTTCACCAGCAACTAATGCAGGAGATCAACAAACAAGAATAAACACCATCTAAAAAATTGATGGATAATTCAGTATGACACTATGGGGCTTAACCAACAAAATAATGAATATGAATATTATCAACAATCGTGGGAATTTAAGTAGCTTGCATCGTTGCTGTAGGGATTGTTTCAAAAGCTCTGATTCGCAACCACTGATGGTGGAGAAAATCTTGCATGGGAACCCTGCGAACCCCACAAACATCCAGCTGTCGGTATCTTCGAAAGTCCTTCAGTTTCCCACCTGGCAACCTCCGACCCTACATTCCATCTGGGGACTTGGAGTTTGGAGGCTTCATTGTGATCCTTTTGCCCCTGATGGTCACTATGGGAACCGGACCTAAACATGTTCGAAGCTCAATGTGCGACCATTGTATCCCAGCACCTGGGCAAATTCACTTGGCTATGCAGCTTACTGTACATCATACAATTACCTAATTATTGTCCAACTATTATCCAATTATCATCCAAGTATCATCCTCATCATCCTCTTCCTCATCTTTAATACGATTATTGATCCCAATCACCCATCATTCTCACTATCCAGCGATCATGGTCCGATGATGATGTGCATTACTATCATGAGCACTATTGATTTAATTTGACGTTTATCCAACAATCATTGTTCTCCAATTGTTTACAATGATAGTTGGATACTGGATCCTATCATTGTTGACCAACTATCATCCTGTTTGGTTTTAACGTTGTCTCTTAATATTTGGCTCCGGGGCCAAGGGTGCCCGGCTCCTGGTGTTGTTGGAACCGGAACCCCACCTGCTTCACATCGTTGCGGGCGTCGCTGGCGCAGCAATCTCCGGTGGCCACGATCTGTCCTTTCTTGTTCCTCGGTGGAGAGGATAAGTCTGACGAAAAATGGATGAACATGGATGACCGGAGGGAAAAAATGGGCTTGCCATAGCTATGTTAAATTACGGTAGAGTAGTAGTGCGTGACAAATCTGCATATCATCAAAACTGTGGGGTTCTTGATGGGTGTAGGACCTGAACAACTGGTGCTTTCAAATGCTAATCCAAGCTCGCAAAGGAAATCTACCCGTTGATGTCAATGATGTTCCACTAGTTTTCCGTTGAAGACTTTGTCGGTTATGTCCCATGATCGGGTTTATGAGGGTACATCGAAGTGGAACCAGCCAAACATGTGGAATTCTACGCCACCCCCCATTTCAATCTGCTCATTCCGCCCCCTAGGAAAACATGTGGGAAATTCGGAGAGCTTGGAGCAATATCAAACTATCCAAGGAAACCGAGACAACACATCCCCGCAAAATCACCTGTCTTTTCACATCTTCACTTTGTTGATTGAAAAATCCTTGAATGAGGGCATTGGTGGGTAACGTCAAGGGTCACTATCCAGATACAAACAAAACAATAATGAAGATATATCTGCAATATGAAATTTAGATAGATAAAAGTACACACGCACAACACAGATATTTATACCAATACTTCTACTCGTATATGAACATAAAATAATCAAATGTATAGTCCTTTCCTTTCGGTCCCAGCGTCTTTATGACACGAACTCCTCCACTAACGCCGTGCTTATCCTTGCAGACCTTGCCCTGGGGAACTGTTGTGGAGCATCCGTCCACCGTGAACTCCTCGTTCTCCTCAAGGTATCCCAAGAAAAATATGGGACTACAATGCAATATGCAAACACACACACACATATATATACACATGTATATAATTCTATATAATGTAAGCCATAGAAATTTCAAATACATGGTGCCAGTTGGGGATCAGAATCCTCACAGAAATGAGCGAAATTCTTCACGCCCAGGTCACCGTTGAACGCTCCAAATTCTCTGATGGAAACCCCCATATAGCGGCATACGCAAATCATCCACTGCTAAATCCCGTAAAATGCCTTCGATTATCCAAGGTGAACCCCCAAAAACCATGGTTTAACACCTCATTTCCTCCTATTCACATGCCATAAAATGGGATATAGCATTATATTATCGGTTTCCCTGTTGTGGCCGGTTCTTTACACCCTTTTGTGGGGAGGTGAGTTCCCAATTTCTCGATAGACCCAGACCATTCTTCGCTGATTGCTTGCCCATTTTTGGACCAACCCATGGTTTCTCAAATTATTTTCCTACAGAGCAATATTGTCCCATTCATTTTTGACCCAATATCCCATTGTGCATCCCCTCGCGTCATTGTGCTGCCTGACGCCACAGTTTTTAGAGAGTAATCCCTTGGGGATATCCATGGCTTAAAAAAAACTTCAACAGAAATCCTCTTATGAAAAGACAAAATGAAGCTGTTTGCTAACATACTCCATCAATATCCCGTTCATATCCACCAGCATTGTCAACAAAAACATCACAATTTCTATGGCTCAAAAGCTTGGGGAATTCCAAAACAATCCACCATAGATCATCCATATATCCTCCATATATCACCATGTATTAAAAGAAATCCGCCAATATATCAGCCATCAATTTCTATGGCCCAACTATCCCCAATAAAAACCAGCATACATGCTAAAACGCATCCCCGCCTGGCACTTGTTTATGGCAGGTGGTCACATTATGGGTCAATGTCCCGTTACCACTAGTTATCGCATGTCGGCATTGCGGTGATGTAGCCAGCCTGCAACAGCCTCTAAGCTTCTGCTGACCCCTCCTGCTGCAATGCAACCTCCAAACTTTGGGAATTCCAGAAAAAATCCATCAGGTATCATCCATAAAAGTCCAAATAGGCCCTTTTTCGATTGCTCAGGTAGTGGATCGCCCGACAACCCGCAAATCCAGGGTTCTATATCCCCTTGCATCTCATGAAATTCCACGAAATCCATCAGCACATAATTTTCCCATATCAAGCTACATTCAACTCTTACATCCCATGATTTTCCCATGATTTTGCCATTTTGCCTGTCCCAAAACCATGGATTTCCAGCGTTTTTCCCATCCTTTTCCAGTCCAGGCACCGCATCTTCCACCACTTTGCTGCCGGAGATGGTGTTGGAACTGCCCAGGTCCATCTCTTCGAGACCCGTCACGGAGGTGTAGCCGGCGTACCTGGCAGATCCATGGGGAAATCCCTGGGGAAATCCATGTTTTTTTTAGGGTGTTTGAAGAGGGAAAATATGGGAAAATGATAGGGGAACAGCTGATTTAGTAGAGAAAATGATTGGAACCCATGTCTTGATATGGAAAATGATGGGGAAAAATGAGAGGGGACTCTTTTTTTAATAGGGAGGATAATGGGACACACCTGGTCACCGCGTGATTTGGAAAATATAACAGCGGATTTGTAAAATATAACAGCGGCTTCGGAAACTATGATTCGGAAACTATGATTTGGAAACTATGAGATCAGATTCGGAAACTCAGAACGGCGGATTCGGAACTATTGCCAGGTCCCTGAGTCGCAAACCTGCAGCAGACGGAATGACAAAGACAGGAAAACATATGTTCATATACTATAAGCAAAATATTTTTATATAAACAAACCGAAAACGTATGCGTCAATTTCCCCCACCATACATCTCTGTAGCAACATATAACGCAGCAACAACATCAGAGATGTCTGCAGCGTAGCAACATATAACGTACGAAGTACAAGGAACGTTAACATGCCCCCCCCCCACGCCCCACCCCATCATGACCTCCAAATGTGCGTTTACAAAAGCGTGCGTTTAAGAGCACGGTTCTCGGTCCGCGTGAAAATGTATGTATATGGCAGAGGCGGTGGCAATCTTGAAGTGGAAAATGAAAGTATGAAGTGTGTCCATGATTTTAGAACCGTAGTTTCTGAATCGCACGTGATAGTTTCCAAATCGTAGTTTCTGAATCACGCGGAATAGTTTCCAAACGTAGTTTCTGAATCGCACGAAATAGTTTCCTAATCGTAGTTCCTGAATCGCACCCAATAGTTTCCAAACGTAGTTTCTGAATCGCACGAAATAGTTTCCTAATCGTAGTTCCTGAATCGCACCCAATAGTTTCCCAATCGTAGTTTCTGAATCGCGCCCAATAATCGCACCCAATATTTTCCCGCGCGGAATAGTTTCGGCATGGTAGTTCCTGAATCGTAGTTCTAAATCGCGTATAGTTTCTGAATCGAGCAATGATCGGGTACACCTGATTGATTGTAAATGATGGGACAAATTCATCTTTAATTAGGAAAGAGACTAACATGCACTAACCTTTCCCCGATCGTATTGAACACACTCTTCAAGCAGCCAAAATGAAAAGAGATCCCATACATTCAATGAACGGTGTGGTGAGGGCATTGATTTCAATAGGGAAAGGAAGGTGTCAAATGCAGTGTTTTTGCTGGGAGATTTGATACCTCCAACTCTAAGGGATCATACCAAACACCTACCTTTGGGGATCATCGGAACGATGGGCTGAAAACGATCAAGGTGGCTGAACATCAAAGGTGCAAAACATGGAGCAATGAAGCAGATGACAACAGTCACCAACAGTCACCAGTTTCATTACTTCACCTTAGCAAAACCAAGACCAAACTCCCAAAATTCACTCCAACTCCACAGCTTCATTTCGCCAGGCCACTTGCTGATGATATGGAGTGTGTAGCTGCAGCTTTTGGGACAGGATACTTCGGCGATCTCCACTTTGTCGGTCTCCGAGTCGCAACACGAACCTGGCCATGGGTGGTGACACCAAATCCTTGGGAAAAAACGTGAACATTCAGGGGAATCTGGGAGAAGTTAGGAGTTGGGAAGAGTGAGCCAATTCCCAGAAAAAATATCAGAAAACATGAAAACAACCCGTGACTGGCCACATCTTCTAAACCATTGAATGGTCATTGGCGCCTGTGCCAATCCTGTTGCCAATGAAGTCGGTGTAATAGCGGATGCCATCTGCCACATTGTAATCCTCTGCGGGCGAAGCATCCACACCTTGTCCAACCTTTATCCCAACAACCGCCAGCAAAAGTGCTTAGATCATATTCCGGTCCTACTAAAATATATTAAAATACTTGGAATCAATTTTCTGGTTTGATTCTGTTTGATGTAATGATTCGGAATGATCATGTTGAAATATGGTGAAATTCTGGGATCCCTATGGATCCCTTACAATTCTGATCATTTCTGATAGTTCAACAGCAGTCCGGATGCCTTTTGCTTTCACGGAGACGGAGCCGAGACGCTGTGACGCATTTCTGTCCGTTGCCGGTGTCGGTGATGCAACCCGTAAAGGCAAAGGTCTCTCCGCGCGGTTTGGTCGACTGGCGCCAGGGGTAAGGGCGAGGGGAAGCCCAAGGCAAAACTTTTCAACGCGCTGGAAAATGATCTTCCTGATTTTTCCCCGAGCAGTGTACTGTTAGGGTTTCTTAATGCTTTCTTAAGGTGTCCGCCTTGGTGTTGGATGGTGTGTCCGCCTACCCGAGGTCTTGTCTCCCCTTGTCTCCCCTTGTCTCACCTTGCATTGTCTGTTAACTTTGATATTCTATATGTATCTGAATTTCCGTGGGGATCCAGTGCGACTGTGGACCATCATTTCAAAATGAAACTGATGAAACTGATGAACCCGCAAAATCCAAACGGTCTCCGATGCTACGAATAGCATTCAACTTGCTTGCCAAGGCACGTTCTTCTGGAACCATTTTGCGAAGTTATTGGGCCCACCCCGGTAGATGTCCAGGGTATAAAGGCACTTGTCCGTACAAGCGTTGCTGATGACACGCAGCACCTGGCTCAGCATGTCAGCGCCCCATCATATCACCCTCGAATCAACAAAATCACCGGAAGAATCGTGGCATTTTTTCTAGGCAAATTTCTGTTCTCTGGCCTTTGGTTCAAACCCCACTTTTGGTTCATATCCCTAGTCTTATGGTGATGTACTTCCCCGAAACAGTGACCATCCTCCTACTTGGAGAAATATCCCTAAGAATGGCACTTATTGGACGGACCCAAGTGAAAATTGGCAAGGAATATCATCTCCAAAATTGTGCTTTCCCACCGACCTCTCTATTTTCAAGGGATTCTTTAGCAAAACGCCACATCACTTTTTTCTTGCTGGTTAAATCCAAATTTTGGATTGTTACACCTTCAGGTTTAACGCTTGTCATCTTCATTGTTGGCAATTACAAAATCAAATTGTGATGGCTAAATCCAGCGTTTCTGGATCAAAGTTGGAGGAAACCAAGATTATGAAGACCCGCCGGAAAATCAGTCAGCCAGGCTTTAAAACTTTTAAGAATGATGTTTAAATGACCATTATTTTAGGGTCTTCCAACATGCTTTATATCGCAATATATCACCGCTATTCTTGTTGGTTCTTTACACCCCAATCAGGTCGAATTCCCATCCATTTCCGGGAGGTGTTTCCCATGGACAAAACTAATATACTGGTTGGTTAAGCACGGGGGTCCCAGTCCCTGGACGATAATTCGAATCATAATCACTAATACACATCAATAAACACACACACACATATACAGTATATATATATACATATGTATATAGGTTAACCTACAATCAACAGCTATAGTATCAGAATATCTTTCTGATATTTTCCCAACGATTCTTTCTTTCGCCCCAAAAAAACCCATGATTTTCTGACTCCTGGTGACGCCGTGGCCGTGTCGCCGTGTCGCCGTGTTTTCCAGGCCTTGTTGGTGAGGCCGCTGCAACAGGTGCCGGTGCCCACCTCGTTGCCATTGGAATCCCGCAGGACGTGGATGCCACCACCTGGAGAAAAACAGCCAAAAACAGCACTTTTTCAGAGGAATTCCATGGAATTCCTGACTTTTTGGGAAGATGATCCAAGATGATTCGAGATGATGGATATGTCGTTGAGAAACATCATCGCAATGTGGATTCGGTTGAGATCTGCTGGAAACATCCTCAAATCATTTGGTTGTAATCACTGGGTTTTATGAAATTCAAACAGGGAGTCAGAGAAACAACCATGGAATGAAGGCAACTGACGCGAGTGAACGGCAACTGTGGTTTAAAAATATGGCCTCCAATGTCCAATGTCCTCCAATCCAATGTTGTTTTCTACCCTGGCTGCTTAGGTCCATTTTTGGTCCCTTTTTGGTCATGGGGCGATGGGACCAATGTCGACCAATGTCTGATGCTTATCCCTCCATGTTTCATGGTTTTGATATGTTTTGATCCCATCTTTGGTGATGACATCGCATCAGTATCAAACTATCGTCTTGTGACAGCACCCGTATGTTGTACAGGAAGGCCCCCAAGTCATAAGTTGCTTTATACAGCAACCTAAGTATCAAATACAATATCGGTGAATAAACTATCCCACAAGAAACAATTGGTTTACACTCCTACGACTGGTTATTGGTTATCCAATTTACACACACACACACACATATATATACCGATTCTCAATCGTTATTTCATCTTCAGCGCAGATTTTTGTCCCAGGATGCCAAGGCTCTCCCGCATCCCGCGTCCTCTCTGCAGCCATCGAAGTGAAAGGTCTCGCCCTTGGGCGCCGGAACCTCAGAGATACTGAGGTTTTTCAGGTAAGAAACATGGGATTTTTCAGTTTTGAATCCCAGATATGGGATTTTGTTTGGATATTTTGGATATGGTTATCCGATATCATTGATATATAATGCACAATGGATCACAATGGGATTTGATGAAACAACAATCACTTATCATATCCAACTGCCCAGTTGACCACGGTGGAAGAATAAAAACCAATAGCCAGTTACCAGGCCAAAACTAACCATGGCTGAGAACTAGAGTTTATGCGCTGTTGCTATCATACCAAACATCAGTTTCGAACAACCCCCGTTACGGATACCAACAGAATGCCCGACCAAAAGGGGGGATACAAACAAACACCAAACAAATGTAGGATGGGAAGAATGAGGACTGACTTAAACAAACAGAAGCATGTCATACAAGTCGGCATGGGTAGATGACCAGCTTGTTTGGGACATGGGGCAAGCCATGAATATCGCCAACCCTCATCTAAGAAAAACAATCGATCAATCAATATTAGCTGGTTCAAAGTTCTAATCCCATCTAAACCATTTCGACAGGGTTTCATGAGGGGGGTGCTTGATGGTGGAAGGGAAAGTAACTTGTTTTTTTTATCATAAAAGATTATATGTATATATATATATATCAATCACTGACCTGAATGGAAGGTATTGTCGAGCAGCGATGCGCTTGGCCCAATGCTTGTCCCAACCCCAATCGCTGCGGCCAATGTAGACGTCATAGTCGCCTCAGGAAAAAAGGGATTGTGACAAAACCATGGGTCTGTATACATGCAAAGACACATATGCGCCAAAAATCGGGCGTGGTAGCTGGGCAACACCCATTCTGAATTAAACAAACCTGATGTTGCTCGTGCTTTACATGCACATCTATAAACATATGCAAATGCAATCAATCCACCTCCCACGATCGAAGATATTCCTGAACCCAAAGCCCTCAGATTTGCATCCGTTTTTCATTGTTGGCCGTCCACTCTTGGAACTCGACCTTCCATGTGTCAAGGAACATGCGCCGGATTTGTCCACGGTGCCATGCTCCGAATCTTCGACATGGACCTGCCAAGGGACCACCGAAATTTCGGGGGTCCAGTTATATCAGCGTCCCCAACCCCATGACTGGACTGTTATATCAGCTGTGGCCGGTTGATCATTGCATCAAACCATGTGGCACCCTGGCACCATTGATGTTCTTGAAACATCTTGAAACCATGATCATTCAATAAACATAATAAACTTTACCCCTAGGAGACAGGGACACGACCGAATTTCACCCCAACCCTTGGCCCTGCGCCTTGGATTGCAACAAGGCCTTGGAACTGCTGGGTGCTTCACAGTCCGCCGCCACCAGTGAGGCGAAGGCCAAACAGAAGCTGCTAATGGATGCCATGGTGGAACCAGGGCGAACGGTAAATGGGGAAGGTTCGCTCAAATTGTTTGAGCCAAACCGGAGCATGGTTGGAGTGGACTGGAAAACCGGAAGAATTTTTGTCTTGCACTTCTCAACAGCAAATCCTCTGAAAATGAACCTCTCGAGCCTTGCTTTGGGGCTCCAAATTCCCAAAGTAACGCATTTGAAAATTTCATCATCTGCATTTCACCTGCATATTTTGTTCATATTAAGGTACACCCGGTGGATGCTGCACTAAATCTGGCAATCGCATCGGTCCAGCATGGCGAATGCAAGGAAGCACGGCCGGAATGGATTGCATGGATTGCATGATGGCTTTAAATTTTCAACATTTTCTACGTGTGTTATGTGATAGTTATATGATACATGAATATACATGATTGCATGATAGCTTTAATTTTCAAACATTCTTTTCTACGTGTACTATATGATATATGATACATGATACATGATATATGTATTGATTTGCCGAAATATCATTGCGACCATTTGATGATATGGCGGCCAAGCCGGCTCAGTTGCATGTCATGCTGTTCGAACAGGGCCGCGCGGTCATGGCTTGGCACGCAATGCAAAGACCCCTGGTAAATTAAGCAATGGAACATGGCCCATGCATATGATGATTTGCCTATCAAAAATGATGATCTTCTGTAGCTATTACTAGCATTTACTAGCTATATTACCAGTGGGTGGCGCACCAACACTCCCAGCTCTCACGCGATTACCTTGGGCGAATTTTTAATGCTGACCTTGTTGTGTACCTGCGTGATGTTTGCACAAGTTGTACCCCCGCATCCAGGCCTTGCAACACCACTGACAAATCCGCACTCAATATCTGCAACTTCCAACACGTTCCGGGATGCCATACATCATCCATTTGAGCTCAACTCTTCTGTGAAACCCGCCATAAATCCACCTGCACAACACCAACACTGCACCATTTCGGCCCAGTCGTTAGCGGCTCAGGGCGACTCGTTGAGGTGAAACTCTTCCAGGGCCTCCTCCAGAGTTGTGGCCTTAGTGAAAAGGGTCAGCCTGGTGGAACCCAATCGGGGTCCCATGGTGAAACCCATGGTGAAACCCATGGTGAAACCCATGGTGACCAAATATCAGGCAGAATTCTAACAGAGCTTCAGATTTTCAGTGACCCGTTGAAACGATTTCAAACGTCTCCAACCGTGGCACAAACCATCAGAGCATCGGCCCAGGTGCCAAAGGTTGCTTCAACAATGGCACGCTTCTGGCCATGGAGCGCCCGGTCCCTGGCGGGATATTTCCGTGAATGGGACAGATTGGGACAGTACGAAGTCAATGAAATGTGTGAATTGGGGCCGGTTGGAAAATCTTCAGTTTCATACAGATCACCGCAAGACAACACAACGGCTGTAAAAGGGCTTGTAGCCCGTGCAGCTACAATATCCCAACGGATTGTCGGGGTAAACGTTCGCAGCCATACATCTATATATCCACCCAATAAAACTTCAGAGCTTGGGATATTCAGAGAAAAACATCATCGTTTATAGATGATTTCCCCATAAAAACATCATTTGCAGATATTTACGGGGAATTTTCCATGACCATCCACCAGTACATCATTCAGCTTTAGGTTTGTTTTTTGGCATTTTCGCCTAGCACAGCCGGAACGCCCTTCTGCCCCGCTAGCATCACGGTAGGCCTCCCAAGGGCACTGAGAAGTATTCGCGACAGCGCCTCACCACACGGAAGCATCACCAATGGCTTTCCAAACCCTGCCCCTATTTTTTTTGCAGGTCCATCTCTCGCCAGGTCACTTATCCAATTTGCTCTGTCTCCCTTTAGATTCTAGATATTTCTAGATGGGACATTCGGATTCGGAGATCACATGATGTCACTGTGATGGCAAATGCGATGCCAAGTCTCCAATTCATCTCATCATTGCCCTGGCGCGGCCGTCAGGGAAAGGGAGTTTCTGGCAGACTTTTTCGCTCGACGCCCCTCTGAAGTGAGTTGACCATCAACTAACCATCATCAACTATGAACAGCTATAGAGAAATATTGGCAGGAATTGACTTCGATATACTTCGATTATGGCAGGGTCAAAATTCGGCCCAGAATGGGATGGCTTGCGATCCCGTAGGATCCATAGGTCGCTCGGGTTCGCCACTTCACCAAAACATCCCAAACTTGTGGTGATGGCAATGATGGTGAAAAAATGTTAAAAACATGGAAAATTGATGAAAGTTGATGAAAATTGTGAAAAACACGTGGAAAAAGAAGATGAAACAAATATTTCTGTCCAGCAAATGTCCCTTGAATCCATTGATGGCCACGCCTGGGCACAAACTTGCCAGGAGTTGTTCCACCTCACAGCGCTGAGAAAAGTCTCAGCCAGGGATGTTGTCTCCACCGGAAATGGCTATCCTAAGGTCCCATCACTCCTGAAAACTTCAGTGGATTCAGTAATAATATCCAATAATTATCAGATTATCAATAATTACGCCTCAAAATGGTTTCTCAACTATTGAAAGCTGATGACATACCTGAAACGAAAGCTGCTCCCCATGGCCACGGACTCATCAGATCCTGCCTGGTTTTTTGGGACGGCGACACCGCAGCTTCCGCCTTGGCGAAACCATCTTCACGTTCCACCTGGGGCCGTGGGCAACTCGGACAACAGGAAACCCACAGAGTTCAGCTGCGAACATCGACACATTTCAGCCCATTCTACGTCAGAAAAAACCAGAAACCAGCTGGTGAAAGGAATGTCCTTGACTTTTCAGATTGAGGCGCTAACCCAGCCACGCCAAAACCTCATCGAAATCCAGGGAAATCAACATGTGCTCGATTTCAGCAATCTGATTATATCTGACGCGGAAAAAAGACACAAAGACAGACATTTCGAAGTACCCACACTCCAGGTCCCGACAAGGTTGCTTCGGCTGCCGGCATGTTGGCCAGTGCTTGGTACAGCGTGCGCCGTTCCTGTGGTCGTAACGGATCAGAATGGATCAGAATGGATCAGAATGGATCAGAACGGATGGTTTGGCACTTTGAGGAATTCCTCCAAACCACCCAAGCTGAGGCTCAAGACAGCCAAGGCGGGTGTGTGGCCATATGGTTGGGTCCTGGTGGCGGGCATAGCAGAAGCGGAAAATCCAATATCTCCAACTAATATTAAACCAGGAGGAACAAACCCGCAGAACGTGATACTTCCCTTTCTAAATGGTATCCCTCAATTAGTAAACTGATGTAAACTGGGGGTTTTCTAATCCTGGATTGACATTACACCTAAAGTGGATGTTGAGAAATGTTGGGAATCATATGAAATCTTCAATCTTTTAGGACATCAGCTGGTTGAAACCACCAATCAATTTGACGTAAGTTGGGGCATCCGATCTTGAGCTGCTGAAGCAATTGTGCCATGACTCAACATTTGGGCCCAGCAAATCTAAAAGTTATAGCTAGAATCTACATTGCGATTTTAAATTGCAAACATCTGCTAAATGATCTCAATGGTTTTTTTCCTCCATACGCAAAAAATTGGACCATCACTAGGCCGCTGCCGAGGCACTTTTGTCGCAGTTCCAATGGCAATGTTGGCGAGCTCAGACTGGACCAATCCTGGAAAACCGTGGGATCGCACTGGGACTGCTTGATTCCTGCGGAGTCATTTTAGGGGTTCCCAAAAATTCATAGAAATTCAGTATTTCCCAGATGGCATTGTTGATGATGATGATGTTGATGATGATGATGTTGATGACCAACCGTTCTATCTATTTGGGGGTTGCTGTAAAACTATGGCATCGACTTCACCGGTGAATTTCGCCGCTGCCCAGCCTTGACTTTGCGCCAGTAGGAGGGTAACCTGAAAGATGTGTTGGAACGAGCTTGCAAGGAGCTGCCAAGTCGCTCTTCCAACCCATCCCAAAAATGAAATGATCATCCGAAAGACGGAGGGCCAGGGTGATCCGTGTCCAAAAAATGACCCAAAATCAGCATCCAAAAAATGACATCGCAAGCGTGCCGGGCAGGCTGATAATCTTTGCAACCACCGATGTTATATGCACCCACGCTGTCTAACCTGAGCTCGGGCTTGGGCCTGGTACCGGTACAAATTTCACAACCAGGTCACTAGGTTATAATCTATGTATATATATATATATAATGTATACATATATATATATATAGATATATACTTATAGAAAAATCAGTTTTGCCTTTAGACCCACCTGGGAAAAAACTTTTGAGAACTTGAGACCCCACCCATTTCCCTAAGGAGAGCACACTGTGCGGCGCATCTCACCTGGTTTCCCAGGCTCATCATACCACCTGAAGTGAACAATGAGTAGCCTCTGGTAAATTAACATAGCTATGGAAAGATCCACCATTTTTAATGGGAAAATCAGGAAAATCCACTATTTCTATGGTCATTTTCAATAGCAAACTGTTGACATAACCAGGCCGGGTAACTTTTTTTAGATGTAGAGAATCGAACACCAGAAACATTAGGTCTAGGTCCCACAGTGTCCCGAAACGTCCTGAGCTTCAAGCGCAAGTTGTCGATCACTCATGGCCTTGCCGCTTTCACGGAAGGAAACAGAAGGAACCTTTACAGAAGCTATAAGCTTATGCAGCAACTTTTGCGTCAAAAATACGGTAGAATTCTTACTTGTTTCAAAAAAGCGGATCATGTATAGATACTTATGTGTATCATACATATATACACATATATTATGTACAATATGTCAATATATTCATATATATTCATATAATATGTATCTATATATTTTTTTTAGGTCTATATACTATTCCAAATCGCACCTCACCAAGGATCCCGCATACCTCTCGCGCATCCTCGGAATGCCTTCGCCTACGGTGTCACTGAGGCAACAAGGGCAGCTTTGAATGGAAACCCCAAACAGTAGGGGGTTTGGAGAAAAGGGGCTGTTCAATGTTCAATGTTGTTTCTTTTAAGATTTCACCGCTATGGATCAGGTCCAAAGTGTTTCACAGTTCCAGTGTTTCACGACGTCGGCCACTCAAATTTCCAGATGCAAAATCCAAGGCGTTGCTGATCCCCTAAGCGACAGCATCGTGCTATGGTACAGCGTCGCCTTCCTTGCGCTTGGGTTTGTCGAAGTATTCCCGCACCCCGCTCTGAACCTGGAGCCGAGCACAACTCCATGTTGAACTGACATACAATTAAGACGTTCACCAAAATTGAAGTTGATTACAAGAAAACTGGGGTTATATGCCAATATGCCAACATGCTTTGCCAAAGTACATGGAAATCAATGTTAATAGCCCGACCCTCTGAAATCTACCCTGTTTTTTGTCTCAAATTGTCGGATGATCTCGGAGCTGGCGCCTCATTGTTCATGCGAGACACCATGATGTGATGCCCCTGCACCGCTTGGAGCAGACTGCTGGAGCCAGCCACAGCCACCAACCACGAGTTTTCAAACGGAATTATGAAAAACAACTAATCGAAGCAAACGCTTAGTAGGCTTAGTAAAGCTAAACTACATTTGGAGATGTTTTCATGATTGTTCACATGCGCATTGCGCGATAATAAGATATCTGCATCAGCAACATATTCAACATATGTGGCATCAGATTGGGAACAATCGATTGACACCAAAAACAGAAAGGAACAGCTTTCAAGTCAATGTGCACAAACATTCCAAGTTGAAGCTGATTGCCTTGGAAAAAGTGATGCATATTTGCACACACACACAGATATATATATACACATATATATATATATGATATGCAAATGATCCAAAGTTGTGAATCCCGTCATCTTCCGCTATCGCCGCCTCATCCCAGGGTGGGCGTCCAAGGGTTCGCTCATCGTACCTGGGATTTCGACTTTTCCATGACTTTTGGGCTGATCCGTGCCGTGGCTGGGCTATGCTGGGCTCCAAGCTCCGCCAAGGACGGCTTCTCTTTCTCTTTCTCCTTCTCCTTGTCGCTGGCCTCTGGGTGCTCCGAAGTTTTCTCAGGATTTTTTGGGGAGGGAACCCTCCAAGATTCCAGCGTTTCGCTCCAGTTGCAGCTTCTGCAATCGACTCATGGGAAGCCACAACCTCGGATTTGACTCAACAACTGGTGATGCAATGATGAGATGTGATGAGATGTGATGAGGTATGCCGGGTCTTCTTGACTTTCTGATACTTTTTGTAGCTTTAGAATGCTTTAGATCTGGAGTTACTTCTGACTTCGGTGTGTCGATCTGATCTATTTGAGTTGGACATCTACCAATGGTCACCGGGCTTCCCAAGCTGCGGTGGCCCCTTGGACTTCTCGGGCTTGGGAGTCGGTTCGTTGGCCGAAGACCTCATATGAGCCATGGTCATCCCATCCATAATACTTATAATGGTTATATGGTTATAATATTAACCAATGGCTATTATATGAGTATTATAATAAGGATCCAAAAATAATGGTTATAAAATAAATCCCGAGTGGAACCATTGGATGACTAGCCCCGTTTTTAATGATGTTGCACTCGCAGTGGTGTTCCCCAATCCGCCAAGGAACAATGTGATGCAACCTATTGTATTCGACATCATTGTGATTCAAGGCCTGGATCTTCCACGCCGTGCTTGTTTAGCCACAGTATTGAGATTTCAAGACCCTCAGCAGCGTGCAGAACGATCGCTTGCCATTTCACTGCCACATTTTACAAGTGCCAAATACGTTGCAGCTCGTGCACATCTTGTTCAAGATTGCATTCTGCAAGATTGCACTGTACGACATGGACGTGTCATTTTGGAATGGAGCGATGCACCTACACATGATGCCCGTGATGGTCAAAGTTTCATCATCCGCCGGTTGCCTGGCACCGCAGGCGCCAGTACCTCCACACACCAGGCTGGCTTGCCGAGCACCTCTGATGCTCCAGCAGCGCATGCCCTTGATGTACATGAAGATGAGCCGCACCAAGCTGAAGTGGCCCAAGATTTGGACTATGATTCCAATGTTTCAATGGCATCAACGGTTGACCGTCAGTCAGTCTTTGTGTATCGTCTGGCAGCACAAACCACATTTGGTCATGCGGATTGGTCATCGCATCAAGCGATGGTGGCTTCAATTGCGCGGATTGCAGAAGTACCTCTGGCTGAAGTTGTTACGGTTCATTCAATGCAATGTCAATTACCAGATCAACCACCCAATGTGCTTGCTGTGATTCTCCAACATGTGCAAGACATTCCACCAGCGTCAATGGAATGCCTTATCATCATAGATGTGGAACTGCATATGCACTCCCCTCCAGGTGCGCTTCCAGTTGCTCCACACAGTACACGGCAGGTCCACCGTGTGTATCCATTCCTTCGGAGAGCCAACATTTTACAGCTCACAAGGGTTGATGCATATTGTGAATGGGTTCGAAACAGCTGCCTTGTCTACCACAATGGTCGAGGCTGGCCTATTCTGGAATTTGCTCCTCGCCAGCTGCAGCACGGAGCATTTCTCAAAGTAATCATCCCACCTCCACCTGTTGGGCATGGAGATACAGCCCATGCTGTGCAAGTTGCCCGCGAGGCTGCAGACCTATTTGATTTTCCAATGGCCAGTCAGGTGATTCCTGGACTCCTTCTTGCTGATCAGCCTGATGAGCCAGCCAACCCGCCTCCTGGCAACCTCTATGTCCGACATTGGAAACATCCTGGTATGCGTCGACACAAAAATGGTGAGGAACATGAATTTGATGATTTCCCAGTATCTGAACTCAGCCGGCGCCCCACTCAGATTGAGCTGCCTGCAATGGACTGGTCTGGCAACTGGATGCAGCAACTTGTGCAGCTCATGCGTGCTGAAGGCGAAGAGGAGATCGTTGATGGTCCAACATACCTTTATTTGCAGACGTGGTTTATTCATCATGAATCCCACACGGTGTGTCGGCATCCTCGACCAGTGAGGATTACCAATGAGATCATCTCTTGGTCATATGATCTGAGGCAGGCTTGGACAGACCTGCTCGAACATGGTCGTGCAGTTCGTTTTCATGTAGTGCAGCCAACACCAATGAGGGCGCCGTTGCAGTCCTATGCTGGACATGTTCTCCTTGAACAAGCACCCTTGAATGGGCGTGCTGCAGTAGTGGTCTCTACGCTCCTGGAGTCCCTACAAGGGAATGCTTTGATGCAATTTGCAAAATCACTTCCCCGCTTTGTCACGGCTGATGATGTCATTCAGGAATCCGAACTGCTCCCTCATTGCACGGTTCGGCCATGCTCTGTCTGGATCGGACCTCGCCAGCTCAACATTGCAATTGCTATTGAACTTTCGTCTGGCAATGGCATACGAATTCATGTGAAGCCCATGCCATATGAAGCTCCAGTACAAGTGCCACCTCCAATTGTTTATGACAACGTTGATGAAGTCTCAATGATTCATGCAACATCTTCGCAGCCTACCCGCCTAATCCGGCAGTATCATTCTGATCATGAAGTTCGCCAAACCATTCAAGAGTGTCGCGATCAGGCTGCACGTGATCCACCACCACCCCCTCATGAAGAAGATCAACCCATCGCTATTCAACAGCTGCTGCATGCATGGCGACTCTGGCAAGATCAGCAAGGTGATCAAGCAGACGGAATGTTCACTGTTGCTGTGTGGTATTCCAATCATATCACAGACCGACGTTCTGATGAGTACCGAACGGTTCGGCTTGGCGGTGACTTCACCAGTTGGCGACGTCGGCTCACCAATATCTGGAGCGACCGAGTCCTCGCCGACCAGCAGATTGATATAGCCATAGTCGAGCCTACACCACACGATGGTAATGGGCAAAATGCAGCTCATGTTGTTCTTGTTCAACAAGCTTTGCCTGGGATCCACACCATGATCCTCTCTGTGGTTGATCTGTGGGGAGATCCATGGTACCCACGATTGCTCTGTGACCTTATTCCGGATGGTGCAGATCATGTGCAGATCATCAATGCTGCAGGAGTCCTCACGCAATGCCCACCGTTTGCACCTGGCACTACCTGTTCCGTTTGGCACGGTGATCGACGCATTGATGATTATCTTGATGATGTTCTGCGGCATGGGATATCATTTCATGTTGTGGTGGATATGATTCATGAGCCATTAGCCCCTCTGACATCACCGACACATCGCGGCACTGCCTCCAGTGATGAGATCAATTTGCTTCAAACAAAGGTTGTTGCCATGCAGCGTCATCTTGCCACTGCTCTGTCACTGCGCATTGATTGTGATCAACCTCAGGATCTGAAGATGCAAACGCAATTGGAACCTGGTGACAAGCGCGACCCACCGCACACTCTGGTTCTCAATGACCTGATTCCTTATGGTGCCACAATCATTCGTACCCCATGTCAGAAAGTTGAGTTCTTTGCCAACCAGCTCATGACTATGGACCTTGGCCCTATCCAACCATTTGCAAGTGTTGTGAATTGGCATCAGCAAACCCAGCTTGCTCGGCGACACACTGCCGACTGGGAGGGCAATTTGCCTCGCCGAATATGGTTCTACACAGATGGCGCTTCTAGTTTTGCTCAGGACGATGGGGTTCGGCACGCGTCAGCGTCTGCTGTCCTGATTCTGGAAACAGATTGGGGCTGTCAGTTTGGTGGTTTCCGCACTTGCCACGTGCCCTTGCCTGCTACAGCACCTCTTGCTGAACATGTAGCGATACATTTGGCCACCCTTTGGAGCATCCAAATTTTAGAATGGTGCGCATGGACATTTGGCACGAGTTGCATTCCGCTTGTTTTTGCATTTGATTGTCTGGCTGCTGGAGCTGCAGCTCAAGGCACCTGGCTATGTCAGCATCATGCAAATTTGCACCGACGAACACGAGCGCTGCAACATTGGCTGCATTGCCGATTCCAATGCTCAACAGAATTTGTTCATGTGCCCAGCCATCGTGGCGACCCATGGAATGAAGCTGCCGACGCTGCCTGCTGGGCTGCTATGCATGGTTGGATCCCAGCCTTTGATTTTGATCGCTTATGCCAGGAGCAGATAGTTCCCTTTGATGATGTGATTGAATGGCTGTGGTTCTGGCAGAATGCTAGAGATGGCAAAATTGGATATCCTCGCATTTGTGATGGAGCCTTTTACTTTGCTATTGAGCATCGAGATGCACCAGCTGTTGACGCTTCGGAGCATACATTCGCCAAGTTCCAGGATAGTCATCAAGATGGGCCTCGAACTACGTGCTCCATTGCCTTAAGAGCTGCTACTGCCAATGTCCTCACACTCTACCCCAACAAGGTTGAGAAGGGAGGTTTTGTTTCCGCTCGGCATGAAGCACTTATGAAAAGCTTTCGAGATCAAGGCATCCAGATTGCAGGCATTCAAGAAACCAGATCAAAACTGACAGGGCATCATGAGACTGAATTCTACCATGTGTTGTCAGCGCCGGCCACCCAAAAGGGCCACTCTGGAGTTCAAATCTGGATTGCCAAGCAAGTTGCTCATCCAGGAGGAATTCTACATGTGCGTACATCTCATATGCGTATTCTACATCAGTCAGCACGAAAGTTGATCGTGCGGCTTTCTGCTGATGGTCTACGATTGTTGCTTGTGGCTGGCCATGTGCCATGCATGCCTGATGAGGCAGCTGCCCAGAAATGGTGGCAACAAGCTTTGCAGGGACTGCCTGCAACATACAAGTCTTGGCCGCGTCTCATGCTTGTTGATGCTAATGCCAGAGTGGGTTCGCTGACGTCACAAGCCATTGGCCCTCACCAAGCCAGCGATGAAAATGCCCATGGTGAAATGATGCATCAGTGGCTCATTGACCACCACATGTTTGCACCTCAAACCATGGCTGACCATCACGTTGGAGATGCACCCACGTTTGCTCATGCTAGTGGTGCTGAGGGACGCATTGACTACATCCTTGTGGATGAGTGCTTGAGACACCCTAATTTGCGCACATTTGTTTTGGACATTGACCTAGCTGTCCAGCGTCCTGATCATTTTGTGGTAGCGGCTGACCTTCCCATTTCTTTCTGGCAATTTGACCGAACTCCGCGAAAGAATCCCTGCCAAGTTCAATGCCTTACTGCCAGTGCGAGGGTTCCTCCTGTTGTAGCCTGGTCGGAAGATGTGCACTCTCATGCAGCACGTATTCATCAATGGCTTCAGCATTGTCAGCCTCGGAAACCTCGTCTACCCAGAAAGCGGCACTTGCAGGAAGCCACGTGGCATTTGATTCAGTGCAAAGCCTATCACTGGAAACGGACACGACAAATCCGGCAGTGTGTGCGCATGACTTTTTTGCGCAGCATCTTTGATGGATGGCGGTGTGCACATTCTTCAAACTCCTCTCCCCCTTCAAGCAAGTGGTTGAGACAGTGTCACTTTGATCTTGCGTGGCATCTTCATTGTCATCGGCAGCTCTGTCCCTCTGTGATGCATCGAGTTCAACAAGATGACAATGAGTACTACCAGAAGTTTGCACAGAGTCATTCCGATGAATCTTTGCCTACCCTTTGGAAAACTTTGAAACCATTGCTACCACGAGCTTCAGCCAAGCGTGCCAACAATCTGCGCTGTGTTGGTCCAGCCACCACTGACATTGTGAAGCATTTTGATGCTCTAGAAGCAGGTGAGGTTGCCAACTACCCAGCTCTCCTGCGCGATTGTCATCGAGTGCAGCAAGCAGCCTTGGCAGAGGCTCCATTGGTCATCCCACTTACTGACCTGCCCTCGCGAGTGGACGTGGAGCGGCTGTGCTGTAAGGCCAAAAAGGGGAAAGCCCCTGGTATTGACCAGGTGACAGCTGAAACCCTTCGTGTTCATGCTGTGTCTGCCTCCGACACCATTCATCAATTGATTTTGAAGGCGTTTGTGCAGGGAGCGGAGCCCCTTCAGTGGAAAGGGGGGAAAATGCATGTGACCCCAAAAAAGTCCACAGTGATGCGGGCAGATGCCATGAGGGGCATTATGCTCCTGACCACATGTGGTAAACTTTACCACGCGCTGTTGCGCCAGATGCTCATCGAATGGACCACTTCTATGAAAGTGCCTGCACAGATGGGAGGGTTTCGCGGCCAGCAAACCAGCTTTGCTACGCACCTTTTGAGGACCTTCTGCAATCTGGCCGCTCAAGCTAAGATGTCCTTTGGTGTGCTGTTCTTTGATGTTAAGGCCGCATTCCACAATATGATCAGGGAGCATGCTTTTGGTGGAGTGACATTGCCGTTTCGGCTTTGCGAAGTGCTTGAGCAAGCGGGACTTGATGTCCAGCAACTTTGTCATGACATTGCACCTCATCATGCGAGGTTTGCTGACTTGCCTAATGTTGCTTTGCAACGAGCAGTTCGAGATGCACATGAGTTCACGTGGTATGTTGTAGATGGCCACCCAGAATGCCATCGAACACATCGAGGCTCCAGGCCAGGGAGCCCACTTGCTGATATAGCATATAACATTACCATGCTGAATGTTCTCAATGACATCTTGCCATTCCTCCGCCAATGCGGGCCCCTGAATGCTGCGGAGATGCACCTGCCCATTTCCACTCCTCTGATAACTTGGGTTGACGATTTGGCAATTCCCGTCACTGTGACACATGCGAAGGAGTTAGATGCACAAGTGGTTGCCGTTCTTGCCGAAGTGCGCAATATCTTTCACTCCTATGGGTTACAGTTGAACATGCAGGCTGGCAAAACGGAGCTTGTGTGCCAATATCACGGACCCGATGCAGTTGCGTGCCGTCATCAGCGATTTGTTGAACATGCTGGCCAGCTTGCCTTGCCTGACGGTTCCTCTTTGCATGTGGTAGGACAATACCAGCATTTAGGCACGGTTTTTAGTCAATCCATGTCTTTGCAGAGTGAACTGAATGGACGCATTGGGAAAGCCTCCGCAGCTTTCCGTCAAATGTCGCGTCCTATCTTTTGCAACAAACGGATCGCTCCGCAGGTACGTTTGCAGTTGCTGGAATCTCTTGTGTTATCGATTGTGTTCTATGGCTCGGGCACATGGCCCTTGTTGAACCATCGTATGTACACGAAGTTGGCCCATGTTATTGTGCAGTGGCAACGCCGCATTGCTGCCGAGGGGTTTTGGCGTGACGATCGCACATCCGACAGCGATTTTCAAGCGTGTTGGCAGTTACCAGTGCTTTCTGCACGCCTAGCGAAACATCGCTTGTTGTATGCATTCAAGATGGTCCACAATGCTCCCCAAGACTTGATCACATGCATTACAGCTGAAGATGCTATGGCACATCAGTCTTCATGGTGCAAGGCCCTGCGACATGCCATTGACTGGATGAGGCTTCAAGACTCTCAATGCATTGCTCAGGAATCTGTTGATACTCCTGCTGCTCTGATTCAATGGCTTCATGATCACCAATGTGATGGACCTCCATTAGTACGTCGTTTAGCCAAAAGAGCTGTCAAACAGGACCAACTTGTCTTTGACTTGAAGTTGAAAACGAAGCAGATTTATGAGGCATGTCGCCTTCAAGGAGTTGTTTTCGATCAGCTTCCTGAGGAACCTCTTTCAGCGTCGCACTCTGCCTTCAGCTGCACGGTGTGTGGACAAGGCTTCAGCTCTGTTCAAGGCCTTCAAGCGCATCGTTGGCGCAAGCATCAGCTTTTTTCAGAAGAGCGAAGGTACATCTATGACACTACGTGCCGTGCTTGCAACAGATGCTTTTGGACAGTGCAGAGACTTCAACAGCATCTGCGCTGGAGTCGCCAACATCCGCATGGTTGCTACTTTGTTTTGCAGAAGTACTTCCAGCCCCTTGATGCACCGGTCCAATGCCCTGTTCCTGATTTTGCACGTGGTTTTTCTCGCTTGCCTGCCAGCACGGTTGAGGGTCCCATGCCAGATGTCATGCCGACAGCATGGTCTACCCAACAACAAGCGCGTCGAGACCACCTGATGCAGTTATGGCACAGACTTGGGTACCCTGATGACCTACCAGGTGACTTCAAACAGCTTGCCTTTGCCACCTGCACGGAGGTTACGATGACATGGCTGAACAGCACTCCACTGGATGCCCTGTGTGATGATCACCTGATGCATCGGTGGCTTGCTGCCCTAGATGAGCTTGCGAATGCAGATGATAAGCAATTGCACTTGGCGACTTGGGCGTTCTTGCTTTGGGGCCAGTCTGCTCTCCCTGACATTGTCGAACGCACTGAAGATCCAGATTACCAGATGTGTATGGACCGTGCCTTTTTTGACATTGCCAAGATGTTCGAAATGGGAGACTTGCTGTCCGCATTTGACAGGCTTGATCGAGCACGCGAACCTGTGCAGCATGATCTGGCTCCCCCTGTTGCAGTGGCCGATTCGCGTACCAAGATGAACCTTGAACCATTTTCCAAAGGATTTTTTGAACAGACGACATTGTTGCAGTCTGTTTCTCCGCCAGTGCTCACATGGCCCGACCAAATGGCGGTTCCGGTTGTGATGGGCTATCATGAAAAGCCTACGCTCTTTGTGTTGCACATGTTTTCAGGACGTCGACGTGCCCTAGATTGTCATCACTGGATTGAAACGTTGGCGCCGACATTGTTGCCTGAGTTTCATGTGGTTTCTCTTTCAATGGATACAGCCATTGATACCAAGTTCGGCAATCTGTTGGAAGGAGACAGTCTTGCTCATGCAGTTCATCTGGCACAAGGCCATTGTTTTGCCTTGGGGCTCACTGGACCACCATGTGAAACATGGACAGCGGCTCGCCATATCGTTTGTGATGACCTGCAAGGAAGGGGACCTCGGCCATTGCGATCTTGTTTGCATGCATGGGGCCTTTCTGGTTTATCCTTACGTGAACTTTGCCAGCTAGGAGTGGGCTCGAGCTTAATGTTGCACAGCTTGCTCTTGGAGACATTGATTTGCCTAGCAGGAGGGGGAAGCATCATGGAGCATCCATCGCTACCCGATGACGAGGAGTTCGCATCCATTTGGCGCACCATGGTTCATCGATTCCTTCTCATGCGAGCACCGCTGGCTACGATGGTGCGCATCGAGCAATGGAGGTATGGAGCACTGTCGGTAAAACCGACCATCCTGAGAGGCTTAGGACTTCCCAAGCTAGCGCAGCACTTGCACGCTTGCAAGCTGCCTAATTTGACGAGACCCACGGTAGTCCTGTCTGGTTTTGACCGCACCAAAGGGTGCTTTCGCACGGCTGCAGCCAAAGAGTATCCTGCAGGCCTGTGCGAAGCGTTGGTTAGGTCTTCCTTCCAAAGCCTCCGGATCCGCCTGCGACAAGCAGGCACACATGCCGTCCAGTGGCAAACTTTTTCGGCTGATGCCCGAACGTGGGCCCAGGCATTAGCTGCACGAAGCGAAATTGTCGCTGCGAAGTCATTTTTGCCAGACTACCAACCCGTGTAAAGTGTACAAATGGTAGGTCTGGTTGTGACGAACCTTCTGCATGGCCGCACAGTCCCAGACTATCAGCGTGTGAATGGGAAAAAAAAAATATTAACCATGAGTATTGACCATAGCCCATATATTGTCACTAGTGTCATCATTTTTCGGGTGGCCATTTTTATCTAATTTCTGGCAAGAAAACGCAGTTGGGAAACTTTGATGTAAATCACGGCTCCATGTCCTGTTGTCCATTCGTCCCTTGGTGAATGCCCAGGGGCTCAAAGTAGGAGTAGGGTTGCTTCATGCTACGCACCTCACCAGGGCAGTTGTAACGGTTACGTAACGGTTGTAACGTGGAAATCATGGGATCCACAGCTAGACTCCACAGCTTCCCAGGGTATCCGTGCCCATTCGGTGGTATCTCGGGGCGGCAGTGCTTTTCGCAGCTGCAGTGGCCCGTTGTGAATTCGAGCCTTAGTCGTGTCTGCCTCAAGTCGACCCAATGCCAGGATTTATAAAGACATTTCATACAGAAAGCAACATTGAAAACATGTTGCACAGGCAATGTCTGTCGGCTCAGATCCAGAAATTCCATGAAATTCCTCACCTTTTCTGATGAAACTGGAAATTTCCATAGTAAACTTAGTAAACAGATCCATTTCTCCGGTGATTTCTCTCCTTTCAAAAGGTGATTCTCCGCTTCTCCATGGCTTGAGCTGCTTGAGCTTCACACGTGCCGCGCCTTCGCAGACATCTTGCCGTACCTGGCAGGGTGACCCACCAACCCCCCCAAAACGTAGCACACGTTTTGACGAGAAATTTACCAGGCTAGGGCCTGATGGGGTGAAGAAGCATGATGAAACATGTACATCCACATGATTGGCCGTCATTGACGTTCATGGTTTTTCATGTTGCTTCCACTTCTGGCTCTGCCGGTACCCAAGCTATCAAGCTATGCTCAAGCTATGCTCAAGCTATGCTCAAGCTATGCTCAAGCTATGCAGGGTACGTGTCGCGGACTTCCACTATCTTCGCTGCCAACAGCGGTTTGGCATCTCAGTTGCAAGGGGCGGCAATGGGAGTCCCATCCCCCAGTTGACAGCGATGAGATATGAATGCACATGATACACTCAGTATATGACGGAGCATAGAAAATATCAAAATATCATCCCTTCCCTTAGTAACCCATATGTGATAGGCCGAGTGCGACACACCAGTGTTTTTGTTTGGGGGTATTTCATAGATTTTAGTGGGGAGGGATGAAGGAATGTGCTGGAGACCGCCCGATGGTGAAATCCAGCCGGCCGGCATCTGGGCTCCAAACTGGCAGCCTGGCTGTGGCTTCGCTGAGGATCACCATTCCGCCCAACCAATGGGATATAATGAGATTGTAACGAACATTTCGAGTTCCCCTTCCAATTCGATGTGCTGCTCTGAAGCTACTTCAAGATGGCGCAAGTACCCAGCGAACTATTCAAGCAGGACAGCCAATACAAATCTACTGCCGTACAGTGAGTACAGTACAGTGAGTACAGTGAGTACAGTGAGTACAGTGAGTACAGTGAGTACAGTGAGTACAGTGAGTACAGTGAGTACAGTGAGTACAGTGAGTACAGTGAGTACAGATAGATGTGGAGCCCCAAGTGTAGTAATGTTAAGCCCGAACTAAGCAAATTAAGCAATTAGGGAGTCCATCTTGAAACAGCACATCATTTTTTAGCGGGAACCATGTGCCAAACGCTGGTGAATCAGCTCGGAGACCTTCGCCTTGGCCTCTGCCTGCGGCGATTCATGGTGAGTCGAGCCCAAGAAATGTGGAGAATTCCCAGATTTTCCAGAAAACTCAGAGCAAGGATTTTGAAGTGAAGCATGGCAGCATGACCCAAAGAATATCAAGGAATCACGGCTGCTCATGGAAAGCAACAGGCCTTCGGCTTAGGGGACCTCAGCAAAAGGCATGTCCCATCTCCCTTCACATCCTTCACCTGTTCCATCAAAAATGATCCCACCTTCCTCGAGATATCTCGAAATTCTGATGTCATGGCTATCTTGGTGGTCAGCCTGTCACAGCTCTCGGTTTCAGACTAAGCACCATATCTCAGCTGTGTTCTTTTGGCCCCCCCCAGGTAAGCACCCTGAGATTTCCAACTCATTCTTGCCGACCATGGGAAACCCGCTGGGCTGAGGCGCGCTGAGGCCAAAAGCCGCAGCTCGCGCCCCTTGCTGCAAAGGTTGCTGCTGGGTGGCATTATTATATATTAATTTAATATTTATAAATTTATATAAATTTTCAATTGGAGTCCCTTTGATCAAAATGTGACTTCGGTTCGGTGATTCTTGGGGCTCCCAAGGAGAGCCCGGCCATCTGTGGCATCATGTTGTCAACTGGACGGCTGGCAAACGGCCAGCGTGCCCGCTTGAACAAAAGGTGCGGCAGGTCGAGAGGTTGCGAAGGATGTCATTTTCACCTTTTCACCTTGAAGCATCTTGAAGCAACAAGAGCAATGATGGATCATTGATGGATCATACCTTCCAGCACATCCGACTCGGAATGCTGAAGTGCCATTGAACATCATCCATTCAGCCGCAGCATTGGGGTTCCACCCCTGATCCTTTTCGGCTTCTCCCAATCGATCCAGTTCGCGAAGGAGTTCAGATCTGGAGCGCAGGACCTGGCGAGGATGGTCGGCAGAAATCCTCCAGAAATCAGCTCGATCAGCTCAACTCATGGCCTGGACGTTGTACTCCAATCGTTCTGTCCACGAAAGCTTTGCGTGTTCAGCAGTGATCCACTCCTCCAACAGGGTTTACCATTGTTTAGCCAAATGTGCATCACAGATGTAGCTCTACGCAGTCCATGTTTCACTGTCACTCGATGGGAATTTCCAGCTTTTCAGTGATTCACCTGACTGGTGACTGGGATGATCCAACTGCCTGCAGAAAATTCCTGTTGACTTTGGGAATTTCTAGCCGCAGGGGCCACCAGCGGGGCACCAGCAAGCCAGCTGCAAGCATGGCCTGGTCACATGAAATCCGATACCCCACTGAAACTTGAACCAGCCATGATCCAAAAATGGCCAGTCAAGAATCACCACTTGCGTTTGGAACCGCCAAATAGACATAACCGTTTTGGAGGATGTTAATGCTGTTATAGATATTTACCTCAATTTTCAATCGTTTTCAGGTATCTTTCAGGTTTCCAACTTTCTATTTCGGGGTTGCTGTAATTAGAAGCTGCCCTTTGTTGATGAAATTCCGCGACAGCACCCGCCTGCACCACGGGGTGCTTGAGTTGGTCTGCACCTTAGCTTCATGTGATGCTCAAGGTGTCAGCTACACCTCCCCACTACCCCATGGATCATCGCTATGGAGGATTAAACACCAGGCCAAACCATGGCTTCCCCGGGTCTGGCACAGGCAGGTGCCAGTAGGTGCGACCGCTTCAGCATGTGCCTCACAGCTGCCGTAGTTCATCAATCCCCAAATTTCACCCATCACTTGAAGAGACTTGAAGTTGCCTTCGCCTTCCAAAAGAGCCTCCAGCCCTGAATGCTGCCACTTCTGCTACTTCTACACAGGTCCTGTGTTTTCCGGCACCTGATCGACTCCCAAATCGTTGCCGAGAAGGTGGTGCGATCCACGTCCATCCGCAGATTCAACAGGGCCGGGTGGCTCATCATCTGATCCTCAGCGGGCTCATTCCCATCAACAGGCAGCATTTCCCATCACAATGTCACAATGGCTGGGACACTCGCAAGTTTGGATCCTGTGAGGCCGAACCATCTGCCATTCCATTCGCGAGCGCATCTTCTCATCCACGTCCTACATGCCAAATTTGGGGCGTGGAAAAAGATCGAAAGCAAGCGATTTCGGAACCGAAAGGGGCAAGCCAAATGGCGAATCATCTCATCCAATGGGCGCCTCCTGTGTTTCAATCGGCAGAATTCCGCAGGCCGAACCGGAGCCTGTGGCTTGGGCGTGCTCGGACAAGGCCCAAAACCTCGAGGCTTGGCACCGAAACATCAACCTGAAACAATGCCAAAAACCCACCAAAATCCACCCAGCTTCATCAAAATCATGAAAATCCACCAAAAACCAACCAAAATTCACCAAAATCACAGTTTTTCCTTTTCCTCCTTTTCTCCAGGTTGCGCTGTATGGCCATCGCCTAAGCTCTGAAGCCAAGAGGGGACTAAAGGGAGGATGGAATCGCAATACAGGCAATACCCGTGGAAAAAAATGAAGGAATCATTCGGAATGATGGGAAGATGATCAAATGATGGGAATCGCACACCCAACAACGATGAGAATATCAGCCAACAACCATGAGAAAGCAATCGAACTCTCGTTGATTTCCGACGATTCGAGCAAAGAGCAGGATCTTATGGATGGAAATTGGAGAGGAAAAGAAAAATAAAGAAAACATCCCTTGGATCCAATTTCCATCTGAAAAAAATAAAGAAATTTGGATCCCATGGTCATCCTCCTTCATCCCTTCATCCCTTGGTGATCCATCCGATCCCAACTCACCAATTTGAGTGGCAGCAATGCAACAGCGCCCGCAGGCTGTTCTCTCGTGGCGGTTTTTTTTGGAGGATCTTCAACAGCATGGCCTTCAATGCAACACCAATGTGGGCGACTCTGGATGTATGTGATACTGTGCATGTTTAATTCTGTATATGCCTGCATGCCATTTACATTGCACGCATGTAAACACACACGCATACACACACATCTATAATAATCTATACATGTATAGGTCCGTATGTGTTGTGCATATTTGGTTGTTTCGCCCAATGTATCGTATATATACTGGAGGGAGAAAGAAGAGGTAAATATAGTTTACATTTCGAGGGTTCATTGGTAGGGGCACATGGGTTCCAGTGTAGAACAGGGTCCTCGTTTGGTAGGGATGTCCATGTTGGAACTTAAACAATTTAAACACGAACATGGACTCATGGACATGCAAATCTAATCATAACTTCCTTCCAAATCAGGTATCAATCAACCCATGCTGACTCCCACATCCTCATCAGCCAGTTCTCCACAACCCACCCTTCGGCCGTTGAGGCAAGCGGCCAGAAGCTCCTCCCGAACGATTCAGTTCGAGGACGTGGCGCAAACCGCACAATGACACGGTATTGGTTGTCTTCCCTGCCTGGTGTCCCCTGCATTTTTTTTCTCTTTGAACACCTCCATATCCATCGGCCATATGTCATATTTGTTGGGTGTCATGAGCCTCATTGAGTCCCACTCATCGCACCAATTAGAACCATAATGACATAGCAATAGGTCACTATAAGTCTAGGGATACAACATAGCACCATGTTCCGAATAAGCCTAGCCTAACCATATCAGGAACTTACTAACCCTTACTAACCCTTACTAAGCGTTACATCATCCATAGTCACATGATCTAACCATCCACTCCACCCATCACCATGAATTCCCGATCCGTCCTCGCCCCGTTGGTCCACAAAGGGCGAGCGCAGCAATCGCTCCAGGTGTAGCAGGCACAACAAAGGCGGCCGATGATCTGTGCACCTAACAAGAAACATCAAGAAACCGTGGTTTCAAAATTCGGATTCCGGTTCACAATCCAGTTTCTCTTGGTTTTTTTACGTCATATTATTTCTATATTTTGTAGATGTGTGCTATATGTTTCCTTTCGGCCCATTTACTTTGCGCCCAAATCTTGCCGCTTCATTTGACAAATTGCATTCCTTTGTGGCTATAAGTGTTCCATTGGGCTGCCGGACGCCTCAAGGTAGCTGAGCCTGGGCATAGCCATGGAAGCTCAGAAATTCCATGTATGGTGAAGATAGGATTATTAATATGGATTACCATCTGGTTATTTAACATAGCCATGGAAAATCACCATTTTTAATAGGTAAACCATCTATAAATGGGCCATTTCCCATGGCTATGTTAAATAACCAGAGGGTAATTAATCTTTTATCATAACCAATAGGATTCCACATGGTAAATCTTCTACATCCCCACGATGAGCGAGCCATGCACCTCCCCATGGTGCAGGTTTCATGCCTTCCATGCTGCCTCGTGGATGTGTTTTATGACGCACATCTTTCTGGACAATGGGGGGTACCCTCTGGTAAACTAACATAGCTATGGAAAATCACCATTTTTAATGGGTAAATCCACTATTAATGGCCATTTTCAATAGCTATGTTAAATTGCCAGAGGGTAGTCCTTTCCATCTGACACTTTCAGGCATCTGACATCTGACATCTGTTGTTTCATGGGGAACCATGAGTTTGACCTGTTTGAATCACCTTGAGCTCCATGATCACCATGGCCCACCATGGCGCTCAGCCCAAGGAGCAAATATGGCACCTGAGGGATGGGCAAACAACCCCCCATTGACACTACAAAACCACCATAAAAAAACGACCGACATGAATCTGATTCGAGCATCTTCTTCATTGGGTAAAGTTTAAACTGCACCTATGTTGACATTACATCTGTTCAACCATAAGCCCCATATCTGATCCAATGTCTGATCCAACCTCCACAAGTTAACAGCAAGACCCCAACAAACAAACTCAAATAGACCGCCACAAAAACCACCCCAAAAACAGAAACTAAAGGCTCAACAAAAACCATCAACTCCCCGAAAGAAAAAACTCGCACCATAAACCACTCAGAAAAAAAAACATAAAAACTCCCCCAAAAAACACCATGAACCACTGAGAAACCCCCAAAAAAACACCATCCGATGGACAGCACAGCGATTTCCAAGGCACACTGCGCCCGCTGCGCCGCGCCAGGTATCCCGGAGGGCTCCGCTGCAGATCCTCCAGCGCTGCGGCAGCGCCCAGGACTTCGGCAGAGGCCTCGCCGGTGGGTGGGAAAAACTATGGGTTTCCCAGTTTCCCCCCAGAAAATCAAGGGATTTAGAAATTGATGTATTGATAGGGTGGAAAAAACTGAAATCCGAAGATTGAAATGATTGAAATGGGAGTATGAGAGTGATTGATGGTGCGATTTGGGTTACTCTAGTCCTGCAGTGAGTTTTTGCAAAAACAGAGCTGCGTTGCCCACAGCCTTAGCGAGTTTGAGCAAAACAGATGTAAAATTCGGCTTAAGATTGGAAGGGGATCAAAAAGATCCGGTTTCCGTGAACTAGGTCAACTTTTGGGGAAGTTGAGCGAACCCAGCATTCGATGTAAATTTGGACATTAAATGGTCAGGATATCACATTTTCCCGCTTCCCCATTAAACATTACATGACATTACAATATCTCGGGGATCTATCCCCCAGTGTGATACACACAGGGGGAATACCCCGAAATGTCACCGGTCTCTATCCATATCGGTGCTTGATGGCGTATGCCTCAATGATAGGCCTGTGAAATCGTCACACTGGAGATGTTTTAAAACGATCAACATTGAGCCAATTTCATCATTAAACCCATTACCCTCTGGTAATTTAACATAGCTATTGAAAATGGCCATTAATAGTAGATTTTCCCATGAAAAATGGTGATTTTCCTTAGTTATGTTAAATTACTGTCCATGTCACAATGGAAAGCTTTGAGAAAAAAATGTCGGACCCAGAATTTCCCATGGCTCGGAGGGTCGGGTCGCCAGGGATTTTCCCCAGCGATTTTTGGCCCGCCTGCACCGGGGCGGCGCCTTGCACTTCGGCCATCTGCCGCCAGGACTTCAGCTGGTGCTCCTGGAAAGGCGGCCATTTTTGAAGGGAGATTTTTTTGGATATATCATGACATGTCCAACTATATGTGGGTGTAATCGCAGATCCATATCAGTCTATATCTATATCAATCTATATCTATATCTCTATCTATCTATGTATGTATGTATGTATCTATCTATCTATCTATAAACATATATATATATATAATATCCCAACAGAATGATCAATGGCTTGGGTTTAGAAAAAAATCCAGAGGAATTTCCGACTTCGAAATTTCCATCACGAGGATCCCCTCCTTCGCCAGTTGGGCCTTGGCTGCGGGTGTTGACAGTTCCCCGCCACCAGCCGCATGGCTCAACATTGGGTCAACTTCTGGTGATTACCCTAAGTCCGTAAGTCGAACTGCTATCATGCCCATGGTGGTGACACCAGTGTTAAACCTCCATTTCTCTGTTGCTGTAATTCAACTCCCATTTCTATTGCTTAAGCTCTCCATTCTCGTAAAAAAGTGAAGCCTCCATTCTGAATTCATGAAATTCACATGCCCAAAATCCAGCTGCCTTTCTGACAGGGCACCAACTGGTCCTCCAGCTCAGGATGGGCTTGAAGCACTGCCGCATGCAACTCAGCTTCCACCTACGCGAGGTCAACCGGGAAAAACCGGGAAACCGGTCCACCGAAAAGTGGCAGATTTCATGGCCATGACCCAAGGGTTAATGGGATGGTTTATCATTGGGGGAACACCACAAAGGTTGGATAACTAATGATGTTACCTTTGTAGAAACTACGAATAACAAACAAATTTCAATGACTTTCCAACATGCTAGTGGAATGAGAAGCAACCATAACTGGGATCCCAAAAAAATATGGAAATTCAACGAATTTCTGGGGTATCGAAGTCTCATTTTTCGTCTCAAAACTTGGAACGAACCAAAAGCCCAGTTCTCACTTCATTTTTTTACCTAAGAAACCATAAATCCAGATATGGTTATCTACATATAGATCGATATATATATATATCATTATGGACCCATATAGAAATCTGCATATGAATCCAGAGAAATCCCATGGTTTAGCAACGTTTTCCCCATTTTTCAGAAGGTAAACCTTCGGAACGCACCTGCTGATGAGTGGCCTGCGGCAGCCTGTGACTAGCGGCCTGGTGCTAGGCATCATGAGCCGCCTCTTTTCTCAGCATTGATATTCTAAGTGACGTGATATCTGGGCACTCTAAAATATCCGGAAATAGTATAATATATTCAGAAAGAATAGAAGTATATTGGATACCTTGGATTCGAATGAGCCTGATAAGCCAATAATACATGGTCCTTCAATGCACTTCCGAGGATGATCACTGGGATTATCATTGGAATTGGAATGATATCTGGATAATACATTCCATTGGGAAATTATATCTTGACATAATATCCAATAATACAATGGAAATTAGAACAACATCCAATAGTCACTATTTTATATCCAACATAAGGACAGCTATTGATTGTTGGAAGTTAGATTTTATATTCTATGTTCTATATATATATATTCTATATTCTGATCATCATTCTATATACTTGGCTCTACCACTTACCCCGGGTAGGTGAGTGCCTCGCTGGCCGCCTGAATTAAGGCATTTTGAAGGCGTTCCAAGAGCACCTGCATCTCGGCATGTTTTCGCTGGCCACCACAGGGAATATTTCAAATGAACCATAGTCATAGCACGAGTACTAACAATCATTTTTTTGCACATATTCTTTCGCAATCATCACGAACATCCTAAAAATAACAATCATGATAAGAATCATCAATAAGAATATAGTAATAACATGTAATAACAATCATAACAATCACAACAATCACCATCACCATATATCACCCATGAAATAACTGTGCTGTATCACCTCGAAGTTGGCCGCCGCGTGGCCGCCCAAATCCACCATCGCCAGGGCGGACCAGGGCGAAGACGCACGAGGCATCTGCAGGAAGCGTTGCACCTGCGCTGCGACCGGTGAAAATGGATCAACATGGCCATTGGACCATGGAAAAATGGAGGTTTTCTGTAGCAGTTTTGCCCAAACATGGGTGATCTTACTGTTGAAAATGAAGTTTCATAAGATGTTGAACGTGTTTTAACAATCAAGATTGCTTGGTTTTTACCATTCAACACGGAAGTTTAACCATGAAGAATTGGGCAAAGATGGATTTGATGATCAAAACAAGGACATTGGGAATGGCGCGCCATGGTGCTGCACCCTCTGGTCAACACTGCATAGAAACTTGGATGGAAATTTGATTTTCCCAATTTTGGGCAATCCAGCCGCGCCTAAATCTGAATGGTTTTCTGTTCATCTATGAGGACCCTATGCATGTCGGAAACATCTATTTTATCCCGTAAAAAAGTTACTTGTGATGAATCCTAATGGACTACTACATTCTCTATAATTACCAAAATTACCAACAAAAAGCTGCGATAAATTACAAGCATGGCCATGGTTAAAACATGTTAAAACCTTGATACCCTGGTGAACCCCAAAAGTAGCCGGAAAATGGATGAGTTATATGATGTTATCCACCCAAAATGCGAAAAACAACAAGTTTTGACATGTTTTGACCTATTTCCACATTCCCTCGCCTCTCTGGCGGTTTGCTCCGCCAGCGGTCCTTCGCCCGGTTCGTTGACCAGAAGCCAAAGACCTAACAATCGCAGCTCCGGAGTGTTTTTGGGTGGTAAATGGTGGTAATGGAGGTAGCAATGGGTACATGGTTTTCTGAGTTTCTTTAAAGGTTCTGGGAGGTTTGTATGGGTTGTGAATGCCCCGCACTAGGGTGATCATGGTTATCTACTGGAAAGATCCTGGGGTGAAGTGATCAAGGTTTGAAATCTGGTGGAAAACTGGAAAACCTTCAAAGTCACCCGTTCACCCTCCAGAATCTGCCACCTTTGCAATTCTAAAGCTGGGGGACTGTCTGGAAGTTGGAATTTCCCCATGTTCGATCACTTCATAGGGAAAGCCATGGATTTCCACTATCAATGGAGGTTTTAATGGGATTCCCCCATGTTTAACTAGTTACGGCACCATATCAGTCATATCACCTTGTCCGAATGATCACTTGCCAGCTATGCACCGGGTCCAACTTCGCTACGATGGCCCACGCTCTAAAAAAATCAAGGGCACAATACACGCCGGCAATGTGAACTCCAAAGTTCGCCGGGAATCCAGCGTCACTGGAAATCATCCCCTATGTAACTATCTAATCTAATCTAATCTAATCTATCTCTCTCTCTCTCTCTGTGAGTCTATCTATCTGCGTGTATCTCTATTGACTCTACATATGGAGGTTTCCGAAATCTGGGCCCCCCCAAATCCAAGTCGCTTCGACGACTCAGCAGCAGCTCCAGCTCCTCGCTGAGGCCTGAAATCCCTGCCGTGAAGCTGCTGAAAAGATGGGGAAAACATGGGAGAAACACTAAGAAATGAGTTGAAACATCTGGAACATGTTGATAAATTATAATAAATGTTGATAAATTATAATAAATGTTGATAAATTATAATAAATGTTGATAAATTATAATAAATGTTGATAAATTATAATAAATGTTGATAAATTATAATAAATGTTGATAAATGATGATAAATGTTGATAAATTATAATGAATGCTGATAAATTATAATAAATGTTGATAAATGATGATAAATTTTGATAAATTATAATAAATGTTGATAAATTATAATAAATGTTGATAAATGATGATAAATGTTGATAAATGATAATACATGTTGATAAATTATAATAAATGTTGATAAATGATGATAAATTTTGATATATAAATTATAATAAATGTTGATAAATGATGATAAATGTTGATAAATTATAATAAATGTTGATAAATTATAATAAATGTTGATAAATGATGATAAATGTTGATAAATGATGATAAATTTTGATATATAAATTATAATAAATGTTGATAAATTATAATAAATGTTGATAAATGATGATAAATTTTGATAAATTATAATACATGTTGATAAATTATAATAAATGTTGATAAATGATGATAAATTTTGATAAATTAAAATAAATGTTGATAAATTATAATAAATGTTGATAAATTATAATAAATGTTGATAAATGATGATAAATGTTGATAAATTATAATAAATGTTGATAAATTATAATAAATTTTGATAAATGATGATAAATGTTGATAAATGATGATAAATGTTGATAAATTATAATAAATGTTGATAAATGATGATAAATTTTGATAAATGATGATAAATGTTGATAAATTATAATAAATGTTGATAAATGATGATAAATTTTGATAAATGATGATAAATGTTGATAAATGATGATAAATGTTGATAAATGATGATAAATGTTGATAAATTATAATAAATGTTGATAAATGATGATAAATGTTGATAAATGATGATAAATGTTGATAAATGATGATAAATGTTGATAAATGATGATAAATGTTGATAAATGATGATAAATGTTGATAAATTATAATACATGTTGATAAATGATGATAAATGTTGATAAATGATGATAAATGTTGATAAATGATGATAAATGTTGATAAATTATAATAAATGTTGATAAATTATAATACATGTTGATAAATTATAATAAATGTTGATAAATGATGATAAATTTTGATAAATTAAAATAAATGTTGATAAATGATGATAAATGTTGATAAATTATAATGAATGCTGATAAATTATAATAAATGTTGATAAATAAATGTGATATAAATGATGATAAATGTTGATAAATGATGATAAATGTTGATAAATTAAAATAAATGTTGATAAATGATGATAAATGTTGATAAATTATAATAAATGTTGATAAATTAAAATAAATGTTGATAAATTATAATAAATGTTGATAAATTATAATAAATGTTGATAAATTATAATAAATGTTGATAAATGATAATAAATGTTGATAAATGATGATAAATGTTGATAAATGATGATAAATGTTGATAAATGTTGATAAAAAATGTTGATAAATGTTGATAAATGATGATAAATGTTGATAAATTATAATACATGTTGATAAATTATAATAAATGTTGATAAATGATGATAAATTTTGATAACTGATGATAAATGTTGATAAATTGTAATAAATGTTGATAAATGATGATAAATTTTGATAAATTATAATAAATGTTGATAAATTGTAATAAATGTTGATAAATGATGATAAATTTTGTAAAAATTATAATAAATGTTGATAAATTAGTAATAATTGTTGTATAAGGTGATAAATTTGATTTTATATAATTATAATAAATGTTGATAAAATTTAATAAAGTTTTAAATGATGATTAAATTGTTGATAAATGGAATAAATGTTGGATTAAAAGTTATAATAAATGTGCTAAATGATGATACATTTTGATAAATGATTAATCAATGTTGATAAATGATATAAATGTGAAATGATGATAAATGTTGATATAAACTGATGATAATGTTGATAAATATAAATTAAAGTTGATAAAATGAGATCAATTTTGATAAATGATAATAAATGTTGATTAAATTGATGATAAATGTGCTAAATTATAATATAATGTGATATTATATTAAATTTAAATAATTTGATACATGATGATAAATGTTGATGAAATTATAAATAAATGCTGAGTGAAATTATAATAAATGATAATAAATGTTGATAAATTATAATAAATGTTGATAAATTATAATAAATGTTGATAAATGATGATAAATTTTGATAAATTATAATAAATGTTGATAAATGATGATAAATTTTGATAAATTATAATAAATGTTGATAAGTTATAATAAATGTTGATAAATGATGATAAATTTTGATAAATTATAATAAATGTTGATAAATTATAATAAATGTTGATAAATGATGATAAATTTTGATAAATTATAATAAATGTTGATAAATTATAATAAATGTTGATAAATGATGGTAAATGTTGATAAATTATAATAAATGCTGATAAATTATAATAAATGTTGATAAATGATGATAAATTTTGATAAATTATAATAAATGTTGATAAATTATAATAAATGTTGATAAATGATGATAAATTTTGATAAATTATAATAAATGTTGATAAATTATAATAAATGTTGATAAATGATGATAAATTTTGATAAATTATAATACATGTTGATAAATTATAATAAATGTTGATAAATGATGATAAATTTTGATATATAAATTATAATAAATGTTGATAAATGATAAATGATAAATGTTGATAAATTATAATAAATGTTGATAAATGATGATAAATGTTGATAAATTATAATAAATGTTGATAAATTATAATAAATGTTGATAAATTATAATAAATGTTGATAAATTATAATAAATGTTGATAAGTTATAATAAATGTTGATAAATGATGATAAATGTTGATATTATAATAAAAGTGCTGATAAATTATAAGAAATGTTGATTAAATGATGATAACACTGGAACTAGATACACCATGATTGATAAGTAGCTTGATGACAGATGATTAATTTTGATATACTGTCCTGGCGCTTGGTCGCTAGCATAGTAAATGCATAGCATACCCAATTTGATGAATTATAATAAATGTTGATAAATTATAATAAATTTTGATAAATGATGATAAATTTTGATAAATGATGATAAATGTTGATAAATTATAATAAATGTTGATAAATGATGATAAATTTTGATAAATTATAATAAATGTTGATAAATGATGATAAATTTTGATAAATGATGATAAATGTTGATAAATGTTGATAAATGTTGATAAATGTTGATAAATGATGATAAATGTTGATAAATGATGATAAATGTTGATAAATGATGATAAATGTTGATAAATGATGATAAATGTTGATAAATGGTGATAAATGTTGATAAATGATGATAAATGTTGATAAATGATGATAAATTTTGATAAATGATGATAAATTTTGATAAATGATGATAAATGTTGATAAATGATGATAAATGTTGATAAATGATAATAAATGTTGATAAATGATGATAAATGTTGATAAATGATGATAAATTTTGATAAATGATGATAAA